TTATACAAATTATTATTAGAACATTATCTTAAATGTAAAAGTAAATGGTCTAGTTGTATTTTTTGCAAAATTCTCATACGAATCGAGGTGTCACATCATTTTCGCGCTTGTCGCGAGTTTTTCACGCTCGAAACGACTAAAAATAAAATTGTGTGGCACATCGATTTGTACGAGAACACTACAAGATAAACAGTGGTGATAGTTATTTGTTGTTATTTAAAATATATAATTAATTAACTCATTATTTTACATTTCAACCAATAAAAATGATAAAATAATAACCAAATTAGTTTTAACAAAGTTTTAAATGATCGAATTTACTATACTAATATACGATTTATATGCACTGTAATATTGTTATACCAGAAAAATAAATAATTATCTTTCTTACAAATTCATAAAAATTACATCTATTAAAATAATTGATTGCATTTAAATAGTTATAACTTATAACTTATAACTTCAGTTCGTTGTTGACCTGCAACGCGGCCGCATGTATGTAGGTTGTTCGCTCTGTTATCGCGTTTTAGTATGTAAACAGTTAACAGTTCACGGGTTTCACTCCGTTGAACACGTTTTCATTCCAATATGAATAACACCCCCTCTCCGAAAATTTTTAAATCCAAACAGTCGCTGACATCTTCTCCAAATTCACCTATTCAAAAAAAAAAATCTAAGTAGGTACTTTGTTTCGCCAAATAAATTCGCTGTCCTAGCTAACGAAGAGGACAATTAAATCCAACTCGACACCTCTAGGCTCTAGTGATACTTCTAATCAGTGGTGTAGGGGAGGGTACACGGGGGTACACGGCGTGCACTCACCTCCCAATTTTAGATTAATGCATGTACCTACCCTTAACGAAAATCATGGTTCGCGGGTGCACGGACCATGAACCATACGTATTAACGTTACCTAATTATACTTATAAAAAATAACTTATAACTTTGGTTAAAAACATTTTCATAGACCTCAAAGCCTATGTTTCAATTCATTAGGTTACAAGGATAAAAATGTGAGTTTTCCAAATTTTTAAGTGGTCAATTAAGACCAGTTAATATTCACTTTCAGACAACTGTGCGCCGGCGGAAGCAACGCACACGCACATGTCAATACTTCCCGAAAAATGAAATACATTATATTATTATATTATTATTTGCATAACTAGAAAAACTACTTATAGCGATAGTCCATTAAACATACTTCCTGAAGTTCGATTGTAATTTCGAAAATATCGTTAAATTTATACTAGACTATGCTCTTTAGAAATAAACTTTTTTGATTAAAATCTAATGTGCCTAAAATAATTGTAATACAAATGTGTTAAGGTACGGTTTCCCTGCAGCGTCTGGACGCGGCGTCTAGCGTCACTACCGGTCTGGACGTAGGTCGCGTCTAGACGCCGAGGCTGACCCAGCCATGCTGTCTCGCGTCTGACGCTGCAGGGAAACCGTACCTTAAAAGTACCTTAAATGCAATTATTTCATGGGATTTAAAAAAAAAATCTTAATTTTAAGGTGAAATTTTATAATGAACATTTTCAAATCGACTTTCTGAAAACCCTAGTTATTTTGTACACGAATAAAAAAAATTGTAATAGGACATTCAGATGTATTTTGCTAAGTCAGATATTAGTTTTTTAGGTAAAAAGAGACATAGTTTAATAAAGATATAAAAAAATAAAAGGGGGTAAGTGGATGTGGATTAATCCTAAATTCGCTGTTGGATTTTTGAATGCTTTTTGCAATTCTTTGAGATGCATGACTACCCGCAAACTGGATACCAGTTAAGGCCACAAAGAGCCTCAATATATCATTAGTACCTTCAAATATTCTGAATATTCTTAAGTTTCGCATAACTTTTTCTAGGCCTGTAGGCCTGTAGGCTTGTAGCCTTCATGTAGCCCATTCCACCTATAATCTGTATAGCTCCATCACATACATACCAGGCAGTTTCGGATGCAAAGCACTGTTGACAAATTATATATTTTTATTTATCAATTGTATTTGTTTAGAATAAATATTTTTTCTGTACCTTAGATATTGCTGCTTCTAAATTATAGTCAACAGACCCAGAATCCATGTTTCCAGATATCATATAAGCCAGCGTTTCCCAAACCATGGGTCGCGAAATTTTTTTGATGGGTCGCGACTCGAGGTTAAGGTTACAGTTATTTTAGCCGTATATTGATAAATGCTTATGTTATAATTCTATAATTCTATAATCTATATTCTATATAGTATAATAATAATGTGAAGTCTAACTAATATTATAGAGTAAATTACATAAAGTTTTTACGATTATGGAATATTTCTTATCTTATCGGTAAATGGGCTAATGACTAGTCGATGCGATCGGTCTGGGTCGTTTGTCCATTATAATATATTAATAAGCAGTTGAGCAACGAGAGGTACATCGAGACTACGAAAAGTTTAGGTTTACGATTAAACACGCATTTTTAACTATTTTAACAAATTTTTACGAAATGGATAAATTTATGATTAGTAAAACTATGACCTGCAGTGGTAAAAATGAAACTCTTGTAGATTTTTGGTGTGCAGTATATAATGAATATCCAGAACTTTCAATTAATGTAATAAAAAAACTATTACTTTTTCCTACCACTTATTTGTGCGATATCTAGGGATTTTCTATCATGGCCAATATTAAAACAAAACAAAGAAACAGATTAGATGTCACACATGACATGCGCATCAGTTTATCTGAAATTGTACCCCAATGGGAAATTTTATGCAATAGTATCCAGAATCAAAGTTCACACTAAATTCATCAATAAATTCAGCAATAAATGTTCTATTATACTAATTTTTTAGTATTTTTTTATAATTTATTTTATTTATTTATTAAGTTATTATTGTTCAGTATGTTGTATTTTAATAAAAATCTTATTTATTTACACTTTACAGTATACTTTTTTTTTAGCTAGGGGTCGCGTACCCCATAAAGATTAAATTTATTGCAAAAAAGTTGGGAAACGCTGATATCAGCCATACTCTCTGTCACATAATGCAACATGCGAGCAAGCTTCTCTTGTATGCTTCCAAACGTTTACTGTGGTAAACGATCGCGAACAATGGGAATATAAGTAACAGGAACGTATGCTGTGGAGGCGTTGAACGAGTTTATTATGTTTTGCTATGCCGCCACCGCCGACGAAACTAAGAACGGTGAACGAGTAGCGACTAGACCATGCGACCCTGGTACCACCGAGACGGAATTTTGATGCTGTCGATGCTTTAGATTTATTTTGTCGTTTGTATTTTGTGAACAAAATATGGCGTAAAAACACTATTTCGTACTTCAAGTGAGCAACACGGCTCTTTCAAGAGGTTTGCAGTAAAATTACCTATTATACAAATGGTAGATTAGGACTTTTTCTAGTACCGTAACAACTAACAAGTCCGATTTTAGATATTTTTATTAATAAGCTAAATAACTAATCTTACTATCGATAAAAATATGTAAGAAAAGCTTGTGATATTATTGTACGTTATTACCATATCGATTGAAATACGATATCAAAAATCGGGGTTCTTTCGATTACCGAAAAAATTCTCCTCTTCAATTTTTGCGATAGGTATTTATACTGTATTTAGTATTTTTTATTTCGCTGGCAACCACTTTGCAAACTCCATAGTGTAGGTACTTTAATCTTCTATAAGTTAATTTTTTAGATATACAGAACTTACATTAAATTTAAAAACTACTTTTTCAATACCTAATTTGAGCAAACAGCAGTAAAGCACTAGGGTCTGAAATTATAACTCTTTATCTAAATGTTAGTGTAAGAACAATAATATTATTCCTGAGTCGATTACCTAAACGTTTTTAGAACTTCTAAAAAAAATCAACAAATAATATTGTAGATAAGTAAAATAAAAAAAAAACGATAGATTATCTGTGTTGGGTTAACCGTGTTTGTATGTGAGGTTTTTACTTTAGTTCAATTGTTTAGCAATTTTGGGTATAATATAAAATAATAAGAGTAAATTAAAAATGCTTATAACTAGGGCTAGCATTTATATGCATTTGCATGTTTTTTTCCTAGAGTCCAAATTGATTGATTGCCAGATATATCCAAGATTTTGAGTATTCTTGACTTAATAGAACAAATTTTTTTTTGCATATTTTGAAGATAATGCATATAATTGCATTATAAAATTTTTGAAAATCTTATGAATTTTAAATGGTATTTATTTAATGAACGTCTATAATTATTGAGTTATTTGTCGAATTGTGATCAATTTACCATCTAATCTTTTCTTGGTCAGACAACCGATAGGATTACCTTTACATTATTTATTTTTTCATTTGTAAACAAGTTTTAGTTAATATAAATCCACTCTTCATACCGATCACGGGTCATTAGTCGGGCAATTGGAAAAAAATCTCATTACTGCAATATTAAATATAATAATAACTACTAGGAAGTGGCTATTTCAGCGTCCGACGCGTATTTACCTATTTTCGCGTCCTATGCTGTGATTGGTCCAAATATTGATAATATCTTATCATTTTTATCATCTGATTTTTACCGCCTTAATTTAAATTTCAGATGAATTATTATTTAATATGCACTGGATGACTTCCCCCTCCCGCTAATCATCCCCATTCCATTTACTTATTGTAATACATTGTAAAATTATTTATAATTACATCTTTAACCGGATATATTCCTCAGTGGATAATCCCACAGATAAGAAAATACTCTTCAATAGACATATAGTATGTTCTATTATATTTGAGAGAAGTTATGTGTCAATCATATATAACCGGGTACATTCCTCAGTGGATAATCCCACAGATAACAAAAATTATTCTTGTAAAAATTATTCTCCTATTTTCAAGACAATATAGACATATAGTCTGTTGACTGTTATTTGCTGTCTATTTGAATTAGATGTTGAAAGCTCCGGAAGTAAAGATATGGTAAATGTTACAACCGTACAACCCATGAAACCAAAGCGCATTTTAAATCAACATGAAAAGTATAGGAGAGCACATGTTGAGGCTAAGAAAAAAGGTTTTAGGTTTAGTTCCTTTTGAAAAACTTGATGTTTTGACGAGACATTTTGAAATGTTAATATGGTTTGTGGATAAGGATGTGGCCAGTATTGCGGTATCTGGAAATGGATTTATAAGTGAAACGGCAATTGAGAATAATCCAAATAATATACATTGTGCTGTTTTAGACAGTAACCTTGCGATTGATGATATCAAAAGGTATTTTGACAACGACGGCTGGGCTGCTCTAAAACAAGTTGTGGATATAAAGCGAATAAATCCAACATGGATATGCAAATGTTGCAATGAGGATTCATCGAACAATTCGATTTGTTGCAATAGATGTCTAGAGTGGTTCCATTTTAAATGTGTTAATGTTAAAACAACATTAAAAAAAAAAATATGGTTTTGCAGAATCTGTAAAGAAACTTACGATTGATAATATATTGATATATTATCTAGAACTAATATTATGACTGTATTTAAAAATACTTACTTTATACTCTGTGATTTATAGAATTTTATACATTTTGCTTTTAAATATTAATAAATAATAATATAAGAACGACTGATTTACATTATTTGTAATATACATATACATATAATTTTGGTATTTCGTAATGATAAGATATTATCAATATTTGGACCAATCACAGCATAGGACGCGAAAATAGGTAAATACGCGTCGGACGCTGAAATAGCCACTTCCTAACTACCAGGGCTCGGAAGTTATAGCACTAAAAAAATTAATTTTTAGCGCTTAAATATGCACATAAAAACATTAATATAAGCGCTATAAATAGCACTAAAAATTGGAAAATATGCAAAATAAAATTTCATTTAGTGGTTAGCTTTTTCTAGTTCCTCCGAATTAAGTAAAAACATATTGCCTGCATTATTTTCCTCAAGAGTGCCTACTGCCTACTATTACATTAGCAATGTAACGACCCTGTACATAATCAGTGGTCTCGTCGACACTGACCCAAATTTTTTTGTCAGAAATTATTTTCCTAATTTTATCCATGGTCTCATTGTAAATATCATCCACATATCCTTTTCGCAACTTGGATTCACTCGGAATATCATTTTTTGTATAACCTTCCAAAAATGTTTTAAATTTTGTGTTTTCTAACTTGTTTGAAGGAATTTTAGCAGAAATAAAAGCCTCACACAAATCTTTATTAAATTACGATTTTTTACTAATATTACTTGTCGCTGTCAATAACTGCTGTTGTTGTCGATTTATTTGATTTTCATATCGGGCAAGGCCTTTGATATGTTTGTCACTTTTTATATGTTGTGATACGTTAAACTTTTTGTCAGAATTAACTTTGACTTCACACATTTTACAAAATAATACACTTTTATCAATTGAAAAAATTTTAGGACCATATAAATTAACATAGGTTTGGAGCCGATTTGACAAATTTTGTTTAACTTTAGGCATTTTTAAACACGATAAATACGATAGTTCACGATCAAACGCACAACACACAAATGACGGCAATACGCAGACAACTAAAATAAAATCATAGGTCTTTACGTACGGCGATAGCGCCGTATCTTACGTAAATACGACGAATTCGAACTCCAAAATTAGCAAAATACCTTCTATAATATGTATTTATGTGAAAATATACCCAAAAATAGCACTAAAAACCTAAAATTAGCAAAATAGCAGTAAAAACCGTAAATATGCAAAAAATAGCAAAATAAAATTTCGTGTATGACATCAGAGAAGTGTGAAACATATTTGTATCTTACCTTGGATGTTCTAGGACGAACCAATAAAAATATGCATTTGCTAGAACTTCCGAGCCCTGCTAACTACTAACGATAAATTATAATTCTATATAAATAATAAATAATAATCAATTAGTAGTTTCGATTTCAATTAGATTCTGGTATTTATGTAAAAATTATTAAATGTTATGTACAAATAAAAAAAATATTGTTTTTGTATATTTGTGTAAATAAAAAGCATATTTTAAGATTTTTTATTGTATATAAATCCTAATTCCTAGGCCCTAGCGGCCTAGCCCTACTCATAACTCACTTAAAAATGAATTCTAGTAAAAACCCTCACATACAAAAACAGTAGTTAACCTAACACAGATAATGTTCTTACCTACCATCAAGTTTCATATTAGGTCTATTAACTCTAATTTTTAAACTAATGGAGCTAAACATTGTCTGCTAAGCATAAATGTGTTATGTTACGCACAAAGCATTTGTAAGTCGGAGACAACAAAATATCTGTGTAGTTATTTTAGTAAAAACATACCTATATTTTGTCCATCGTACTCACAAAACTCGTTTGAATTCGTTATTAAGTCTACTTCAGATTGGTCAGTACACTTTTTCCAATTTAACTTATTTAACTTATCTACTTTTATATTTTTATTATAATTTTCAAACATTAACAATAATATTTTGTTTTATATTCTGTAAAAATTAAACCCCCGAAATAAAATATTATGTTTCCTAATAATATATATTGACCATAATGTAAATTATTATTAGGAGTCGTTGTTACTTATAGATACAATATTTAAAAGATTTTTAAAATTAAAAAAATATTTTGATTTTGATTGATACATCAAATAATGAAAATAGTTATCAAATAAAAGTTAATGGATGTGGGGGGGGGGGCTATTCTTTTAAAAGAGCCATTAATATAATATGTTGTTCCAAATTACGATATAAAACAAAATAATATTTTTGTTAATGTTTGAAAATTATTTATTATAATAAATTATATTAATGTTTTCAATGACAAATATATCTAAGCTTAAGCTGTATATTTGTAATTAAATATTGATAAAGTGGTTATGATACTAATTAGATTTTAAAAAATATTTGTTCCATCGATGTCACGCGATTGTGAGTAATATAGTAGTCCGGGGACAATTTTTCCTAGGATTGGTAATTTTTATTCCACAATTCACTGTCTGTATATTATAGTTTAGTGCATACATTAAACAGTAAAATTATGTATAATAATTAAAGACCTAAGTAGGTACCACCTAAAAAACCTGCAATTAAACTTTTACAGGTCTTATATTTAAATGTTTACACTCAATTATAAAATTTGTTCTAGAGCACTAATAGATTTAAAAAAATGAAAGTACAGTTTAAGTGTTTAACTGCTGTTAGTTCAATATTAATTGAAGATAATGTTTTCATTAAAATAACCTCCTTCAGACCATGAATTAAAACAATTCAATTACAAAAAATAATTGTATGTTAAAATAGAATACATAGGTTTGTATGCATAAAACATATACACATAGGTACGTCAAATACAAAGAAATATCAAAACTAATTAACTATTATATATTATATATACATATATATATAAAAAAAATGTATGTGTGTTTAAAAAATACAATAATAAACAAAATTAATTATTTAAATCAATAATTTCAAACCAGTCTAACAATATAAAATATAACAATACTTAACGAAAAAAAAAAATACATAATTAAAGAACTAAATATAACCCAAGCAACAATCATTTCTTAATAAATATTAAAATTTTGCTAAGTCAGATTTTAGTTTTTTAGGTAAATAGAGACATAGTTTAATAACGATATAAAAAAAAATGTGTATTTAAGCTCAAGTTTAGTTTATTTTTATTACATTAAGAAATATATAAATAAAATAACCACCTTACCCTGATTTTAGCGATTCAATGTTTATAGAAATTAATTATTTCAGAATAAAATATTCAATTTTTAAGTTTTTACAGTTTACAAATTTAAAGGATTAGGTTGTACTAACCCCCCACTTTGACACATTTGTTCAGCAATATCACTCATTTTCGAAAAGTTATCTAAGTGCTTCCCAGACTTCAGTTGCAATAAATTGCTTGCTACTCTATCACTGGCCTAAAAACAAAAATAAATTATTTTAAATTAAATAATATGTATTTGTATAATACATAGTATACATAAAAAGCCAGTGAGACATACTTCGGAACAGTAAACTTGGGTCAATAGTGCTTCGTAATCGGCAGTGGGTAGACCTAAGTTGAGTGCTCTTGTTGCCCGAGAAAGTACCACAGTCATAGTGTATGTATCAATAGCCGCTTGAGCTAATCTATTTAAAAGGAACTGTTCATCAATAATACCTTTTCCATGTTTGATTAACAGCGATTCTACAGCTGGTCCAAAAAGACCTACGCTCTAAAAATAACAAGAAAATAGTTATACAAAATCCAGAAAACCTTAAGCATTTACTCACTTGACCAGCAAGATTGGCAGCATCTGATAACTTTGGGTGCACCAAGTGTGATAGAGATGGAGCAGAACTAAATCCGACCGATGAGAGAGCTCGTTTAGTGACTTCTTCAAGAATTAATCCTAAATTTGCTGTTGGATTTTTGAATGCTTTTTGCAATTCTTTGAGATGACTACCCGCAAACTGGATACCAGTTAAGGCCACAAAGAGCCTCAATATATCATTAGTACCTTCAAATATTCTGAATATTCTTAAGTCTCGCATAACTTTTTCTAGGCCTGTAGCCTTCATGTAGCCCATTCCACCTAGAATCTGTATAGCTTCATCACATACATACCAGGCAGATTCGGATGCAAAGCACTGTTGACAAATTATATATTTTTATTTATCAATCGTATTTTTTTAGAATAAATATTTTTTCTGTACCTTAGATATTGCTGCTTCTAAATGATAGTCAACAGACCCAGAATCCATGTTTCCAGATATCATATAAGCCATACTCTCTGTCACATAATGCAACATAGCCATGCGAGCAAGCTTCTCTTGTATGCTTCCAAATGAGTCCAAACGTTTACCAAACTGTACTCTGGTGGTAGCATGCTCTACGGCTTTAGCAGTCACTGATCTCATTGTACCAGACAGAGCAGCAGCCATTCCAAACCTTCCATTATTCAATATATTCATAGCTACTTTAAAACCTTCGCCAACACCTCCCAAAACATTTTCAATTGGTATCTTGACATCTTCGTAAGTTACTTCAGCTGTATTTGAGGCTTTGATTCCCATTTTCTTCTCTGGCGGACTGTTTGAAACACCACCAAACGCTCTTTCCACAATAAAGGCAGTCACTTTGTCAACTGTCTTACCAGTCTTCTCGTCTTTTACCGGAGTTTGTGCAAATACTGTCATTATTTCTGCCATTCCTCCATTACTAATCCATATTTTATTTCCATTTAGAACAAAATGTTTACCATCAGGAGATAAGACTGCTCGAGTTCTGAAATTGTGATAATACAATATATTGTATTATAATGGTAATATCATTATTTAAAAAAACATACCTGATTGAGCCAGCATCACTACCAGATGATGGTTCAGTCAAACAAAATGCGGCAAATTCTTTATTGGACACTCTGGGGAGATATTTAGCTTTTTGTTCAGGTGTTCCAAATAGCAAAATTCCCTGTTACAATTAAAAACTACAATTTATTTTTCGATTAGATAAATACCTTAGATTATAATTCATAAGATAATGTTTATTGAGAAAATATTATCAATTATGATTTTTGTTTTATAATATTAACATATAAGTATTGCATTACATAATTTAAATATAACAGATCAGATATTTTTGAGGATGGAGAAATTTATATAATGGGTAGGTAGGCACCATGTTGGTACCTTGTAATTTTGAGACATGCAACGTTGTTTTTTTTTACAATATTTTTATGCTAGTTTTTTTTTATAAGCATTTAAAGTTCAAAAATTGACAAAATATGGAAAAATCACGAAAATTTGCAAATTATTTTGAGTAAAGAATTCGTAAAAATTTTTCTTTTTAAATCTAAGGTTTTAAAATGTAATACAAGATTTCTTATAAGATTATCTACTTTTATCATAAAAAAAATGTCTATTAGAAAGTGAAATTAAATTTTGATGAGTGTATGAAATTCAAATTTTTACAACATTGGATATTCACTCGATTCCTCATGTAGCGATTTCCTTATTTTGTTGTAATTCAAAAACGAATAACTGTAGATGAATGAAAATTTAACTGAATGTTTATATTTGAAATTCCTATACACCATACAATTTTGAAAATATTTTGCCTCTTTTTGAGCTGTTTACGGACATTTTCAGTTTTTTTTTTCTATAAATATCAATAAATTATCTGTTGGGCCAAAAAGTGTAAACATTTAATAAAGACTCCTGATATATTGTTACAATGTCAGCTGAAAAATATTTAAAATACATATGCACAATTTTTTTTTATAAGCATTTAAAGATAGAATTTTGACAAAATTTATCAAATTTAAAACTTAATAATTATTTTGTAGTTAATAATTTATAAAATGGTTCAACTTTTAAATCTAAGGATTGAAAATTTTAAACAAGATTCACGTGAGTAGTTAATTCTGTTACCAAAAAATCAAAAAATACATAAGCACAGTTTATTTTTAAAGTCATTTTAAGTTCAAATTTGGACGAAATTGCATAATAAAAAACCTAGAAAAACTATTTTAGTTATTTTATTGTGATTGTATAATATCATTTGTGGGTACTTGAAACTTCTTAAGCTTCTTCACTATTATGTATCAATGATAGTATCAGGGTTTGTTGTTGATGTATAACACGTTATATACCTAATGGATATTGTGATATGACTAATTTGGAATTTATTATAGGTCAATTTTTTTTATACCATAGATAAGTATATAATAAATCTTATACCTAGACTGACATATCGTCTCCGGTCAGAATCGTGTTTCTTATACAATGATATTATATCGTTAAATTCAATGTTAATACAATCCATTATACAGTGACCCATTTGTAACCTCCTGTACAGCAGTGATCCTTTTTTAGAATTTATATTATGTGTTTTACTAAAAAAAATTGTAAATAACTGTAAAAAATCTATACACATATCAAATGGTCAACTCAACTCCCAATCACTAAAATATTTTTAAAAGGCATGTACATTCCTACCTGCTAAGTAATATTATTGACATTATTCACTTTCAATTCATACAGTTTTGAAAACAAAAAGGAAACTTAACAGTATTATGATTATTGCGACAAATTGTACAGGTTGGATGAAAGAATTTATAAAGAATTTAATCTATTATATTATATTGGAAAATAAACTTATCATGAAGGCATATATATAATATATGCATATGCAACATACTCATTATTAACATTAAAATTATGCAAAAAATTGAAAATGTTGATCTAAAGTATTTACATAGATTATGTTCTTAAATTTTAGCATGCTAAATATGCCATACCATGGAACAAATAAATTAAAAATTAAATTAGTTTAATTTTTTTCTCTACAAATAATTTCCACACAATACTGAAAATATTGAATACTGGGACTAGGTAAAATTATGACCATTGTAGATAAAACAATTATATGCATTTTAATTTTTTTGGGGGTTAACGTAAACTATAGATAAATATTTTATAGCTATAGAATTTACCAGTATAAAACGAATTGACCAGTCTACCATAAAATAAATTGACATTATTTTAAATTGTGAATATTATTACCATTTATGGTAAAAATTAAAAAACCAAAAAAATAAAAAAAGTAAAACTATGAGCGTTGAATAGTGAACTAGGGAATGGGCCAGTTTAATCTCTTGCTACCCCTGAAACTAGAGACTGCTCACGCCTATGGTTTACCACCTCAACATTTAAATCAACTAGCCATTTGAGATGTATTTTAAGATAGCCGTTTATATGTGTATGTTTATTACTTAATCAGTTTTACGCTAAGAAAAAAGTAAATAAAAACTAAGGGGGGTCATAGGAGTTGTAACCACGAGTGACCTAATTCTGCCACTGAAATGGTGTGTAACATATAATTATATAGCTGTCATGTTACATAGGTCTTGCATATAATATAATATGCAGAATATAATATGTGATTATAATGAATCTGGATGAGCTGTATTAGAACTGGATATCCCGATTACTATAATAATATTACATAGGGAAACCTACACCTGAGATCTAGACTTTTGATAACAACAGGCTAATATGCTAAATAATTTAAGTAATGAAAGATAATTTTTCATGGGCGTCCCTGTGGGGGGAGGACGGTCAACCCCCTCCATAAGTTGTGAGATGTTTTGTTTTTGCTCATAGATAAATACATTTTGTTAATTGTTAAAAGACGTATTCAAGACTAAAATTTAAATTGATCTGCTGTTAAACACAATCATTTTAAATTTGATTATGCTCGAGCTATTAAAATTTCTTAAAACCTAAGGTGTTCCGCCATCCCTAATAAAATGGATCAAGATACAATTTTATTTAATCATTGATTTTTAAATAATATCAAATATAATATATACTGTAGTTTAGATAGTAGTATTTACTTTAAATCCAATTGACTGATGTGCTCCCAAAACAATACCCACAGCTAAATCATGAGCACCAACAATTTCTACCATTCTAGCATACTGAGTGTTGCTGAGACCCAAGCCACCTAATTCTTGAGGTACTTGTAAAGAGAAAGCACCCATATCCCATAACCCTTCGAGGGTGTTAGGTTCTACTGTTTCTATCTCATCATTTTTGAGTGGGTTATTGACTTCCTTGAAAAAAAAAAAAATTGATAAACATGGATGATAACAAATTTTTAAAATTTTTATTTGATAAATACTTTGAAAAATTTTGTCACGGGATCGACTAGACTTGTTAATGTTTCCGTTTGTTCATCATTTAATACATTTGGGTATGGGAAAACTTGTGAAGTTTGTAATTGACCACGGAACAGGTTCATTGTGAAGGATTTTGATTGTTTAACATCTTTTTTTGAATCTGAGGATTTTTCTTTTAAGTGTGAAGCAGATGTTGACAAGAGTCTGTAAAAACATTTTTATTATAAATTAATCAAATGTAATTATCTAGGTAGGTACAAATAAAAACAAATATTTCCATCTTTACATAATAATGTTTGGTTATTCAATTATAAATGTAAATAATTTAATCAATTAAATAATTACTTCTTAGGTATAAAATAATAGGTAACAAGTCATTATTCATTTTGAATTGATATTTTTTTTAAATTATACAGCATACTAATGAACAAAAGGTTATCACATAGGTACCTAAAATACTCTTTTGTGCTCTTTTGTTAATAATTTTTGTTTAATGTATTTTTTTATCACTTATGTTTCAATGTTTCATAGAAATATGGTTTTGTATTCAAAATTACAAACATATTTCAGGTACCTAAAATGTTTAACTTTTCATTAAGTATTAAAAAAAAAAATAATAATAACCAATAACAAAGTAAATAACTAATTAGGTATAAGATAGGTAATAACTATAATATATATAATGTATTTAATATCACAGCTAAAAAATTAATTCATTAGTATAAAATTAATTTCAGTTTTAATTAAACTTATAATCTTTATGAAAAGATTTTGAATGTATAGACTGTATGTCCTAACATTATTGTTATAAATATAATAATAATTTTACTCTACTTCCTGATTAGTATGTCAATATTATTCAATTGGCATTGTTCTATTTATAGTGAAAGTAGATACATCAAAGCCAAATTAATCATTAATAATATACTAGATTGAGTACAAAGGACAATGTTACGTCATTAAGTGAGGTAATTTGTTTTTTATTTAATAAGCTCCATAAAAATATTACCTATATTAATATTTGATTAATTACCTAGTTAATATTATAAAATTATTAAAATAATAATTAAATGTTCAAAATATTTGCGAATTAGGCAATTATTTTAACAGCAATAAACCATAACACTGATTTAAATTAATCTTAAATTACCTTAGGTGGGTTTTAACTTAAATTTATTTTATTTTAAACCATAAAAGTAAAAAGTTGAATAAATTTAATATGCCCTATATGGAGGTTAATCAATTCTTTTGTCCATCAAAAGGTGTATTTATAATGTAATTAGAAGTGTTAGAATGTTGGATAAATATCCAAATATTAAACTCAATATTAAATAAGACAATGAGACCACCAATAATGTCTAACTATCTGCTTTCTTACTCAACTAATCATTTTTAATTAAGTATTGTTAATTTGTAAGCTGCATTTTAAACTACCGTCTACAGATACATTTTACATTCAGTTGTGCAACAAATTACAATAAAATTGCAAAGGAAAATACGACATACCTTCTAGTTTTCTGAACGGTCCTATATTCTTCTAGTGTTTTCAATTGGTTACGGTTTAGTTTATTGTATACTTTAAACATTTTGAAATTAGACGGTTGGAGAAAAAAATAAAAAACAAAAATTTATTTGAGAGTATCAACTACCCAACACAAACAAGCTACAACAAGGAAGTGTCCGTGAGTCGTGACTAACAGCGAACTTCTGACTAATATGTATTACGTCGCCTGTTACGCACTGGTCACTGTGCCAGCTGTCAAGTTCCAACAAATTACACAGCAGTACGGTACTCTAAGGCAACAACAACTAAACGTCTATAGTCTATACCAACTACGCAAGGTTGCTGGTTGGTGTAAAAAACAAATAACCATGATATAAGTATAATATAACTATATCATGCAAATAATAAGGGGCAAACTCGAATTGCCAAGAACAACAATAATAATATGTGATAACTGTTATATGGTAAATTTTACAAAATGTAGATAAGAACAATATTGATGACTACATCCGGGAATTTATGATAATGTACAGTGTGACCACACGTCGGTCAAAAGATACTTGTTCTATGGTAATATTGGTAATATGCGACTAAAAAATAAATTTATCATTTAATCAATTCTGTGATACACTGATACTGGTATGTCGGCGTGCGCACTGCGCGACTTGGTTTTGGATCATGGGGCATAGCGCATAGATATTAGATAAAATAATAGTTAAACTTAAAGTTTTAATAGAATGTTTAGCCTACCGTAGTACCATTCTACAATTGAGTACTCAGCTTACAGTCGACACTGGTTTTTGATTTAATTTTTTGAAATTTTTTTTTGCTGGTTTTTTTGTTTTGATATTTGTTCCGTTTTCTGTTCGTTGCAAGCTGCAAGATACTTGGTAATAATTTACAGCTGATAGGATAATTATTCGCTTTTTTCCTGTTTTCCTTACCTTAAGCCCTGTTGAAACGCTATGTTCATCGAAAGGGGGAAACCAGAAGAAATCCCCAAAGGGGCCATTCGTCTCACGAGAGATGAGGTCCAAGAGTACATGACCGACCTGATACGCAAATGGCCAAATACGATGGAATTGTCAGTGATGATCACATTGCGCAAATATCACTCTTTGAGCATGTTTTTATTGTTTTTAGATGGGCGCTAAAACATGGTAATCCAATTCTATCGTCAGCCGTTGTGTTATCGAGTTCGGTCATTTTAAATTTTTACCGCAAAAAACTACAACTAAGGAATTATGGACGTTTTACTTTGTTCTTGCCAATTGTTCTTGCCCCGTCAATTTTCAATCAAATCTATCAAAACACAGTACGTAAATTCATATACCTAATAACATTACAAAGACAATGACTTAAACCTTATTACCATAGGTGACTACTAAATCAATAATTTTACAAGAAGATTGTCCTATTTGCATCAATACACAATCAATGTTCATACAAGTAGGCACAGGAATTGTTTATCCTCTGATGAGCACAATTGGTGGAACTTATATGGTAAATATGCGTTATACTTGAACAATCTTTTTAACATTTCATTATGATTTTTATTGTTGACTCAATGTTATAAATAATCTGTCTTAACTATTTATACTTTCAGTTTGCCAGCAAAATGAGTACTTTTAGTTTGAAATCTAAAGGACCTGACATTGTTAAAGAATTTGCTTTGCATGTAATGAAAATAAGTCGTCCACTATACAACAGACTTACTGCATTTGTCATTGGTCATGTATTATTAAGTTATATGATAAGTCATTACCAAATGGATAATTTTGAATTTTTAAGGATTAAAATGTTACAACAACAAAATGAAGAAATAGAAATATTACGTCTAAGTGAAAAAAATCAGTTATAAATAATGATACACAATGTCACTGATAACGTAATTTAATTGTAACTACTAATTAGAATCTTAAAATATATAGAATATTTTAGCTTGTAAAACTGTTTTATGCTCTTAATATAACAAAAATAATATGATCAGTTTTCATATTTATGTGGTTTAGTTGTTTATTATTGTGTACCATACTAACATATTGTTTATACTAATATATTATAAATGGGTAAGGGAGCATGCACATATAAGTAGTCAGTAACAAGTTACTGGTTAGATTACAATATAATATTATATATGTATTATTTGATCTAAATGACCAAATGTTTATTTAATCACTCAACCAATGTCTGTGTAATAAGTTCCTGATCATTTTTTGTTTATACTCCAGCCCACAAGAAAAAAATTCTGTGCCTCGGCAAAAACATGTCCCACATGGTGGCATGTGTCACAAATTGAGCTAGAAAATGTGATATAAACCAGTTAGGTACTTCTCATGTGAGGAAAAGTATATTTTTAATATTATAATTTATGAATTTAATGTTATGCATTTATACCTAAATTAAAGATAAATTAAAAGTATTATTTTTCTGTAAAAAAATAATTCTTTCTTTAAATAAAAATTTGAGATGTTTGGTAGTTATACTCTGTTCAAAATGAGATCAGTACCGGGCGGCCAAATTGTGCTCAAGGGCATTGCTTTGTAAAATGACACAACTTAGTGTTGCTAACATAGTGGGGACGGTGTCTGAACGTCTCGAAACGAAACTTGTCGCCGCCCGGTACTGATCTAATTTTTAACAGACTATAAGCTGACGTAATCTTTATAGTTTATTAGTCACTACTCTATTCAACTATATCTACATAAATTCTTAATCTATTCAAAACTTAAATATACATATATTAGCAGAGTATCTTACACTTGTAGGTACTAGTATTTACAGTTGATGGTAATCCTTTCCCAACAAGAAGTGTCATACGTAAAAATCATCCATCAGTCAGTTGTTTAGTCAATACCTACAGTTAAATTTTGCATTTTTAAATTATTTAAACTATGCCTATGTATTTTGAAGTATTGGTCACCATCTTGGTAATATAACACAATAAGGTACTAGTCAGTGGTTCTCCTAGGGAGGTGGACCCCCATCCCCCCCCTTGACTCACTGTGGTATTTATTTTTATTTTTTTAAGATACCTGTCATCAAACCTTAATGATATCTTACATAATAAATAATTGTGATTATTAAGCACTAAAATGTCAAGGGTCACCAAATTTTATCCGGCCCCTTGGACACTAAATAAAGTAAAAATTTAAAACATTGGCAACACCCTAATTTAGATTCATAAAAATGGCAACACACTTAAATCAGTGGATTTTTGAAGAAGTATCAATTTTAAACCTATGTGTTAAATGTAAATTGTTTTTCTGTGGTATTTACCATCACATCATAACGCCATAATAATGCCGTACATTTATACTTTCAACATGTAGTATGTACAATATAAAATAGATACAACTTTTTTTGGCAATACATTACAGTAATATTACTGGTTTAGAATCACTGATATAACGTATAAACATACTTCCAATAATTCATAATTTAAGACAGCAATACACCTAGGTTATTGTATATACTAACATCAATATATACCTATTTAGTATTTATCAATTTATATTAACATCAATATATACCTATTTATCAATTAAATTAATTAATAATATGAATTGGAATATTATATTCAGCAAAACAATAAAAATTAGCATATAATAATAATACAATACTTAATGAATCATTAATAATGACTATTGATCAACTATGTATAGTCTATACTACATTCACATTGTTAAGGGACCAGTTTTTGTCAAGTGACAGTGTCTGTGGTAACCGTTGTCCTGGTTGTCCCAACCAAGGGAAGCATCTGCCTGCCATTCCTTTGTACACACGTAAACCACTGAAGTACCTTTTAAATGTGGAGTATATGTATAGACAATTTATAGTTATAGTTATAGTTATAGATTAAAAATATATAATTAAGTGAAATGCCAGTCAGAAAAATTGTTTAACAAAAAAGTAAAACCATGTTTATATAAACAAACTTTCTTTGAAGTAAGTGAACACATAATAAGGCTTACAACACTTGTATGAATATATAACTATTATTCTTCATATAAAATTGTATTTTTAGACATTAATATATTCGGTTATTAAATAATACAACCAATATAATTAGATAAATTAATAATATATATTAACTCAATAATAAAAATGTATATATACATATTAATAATTAACTATAATATAGATTAAAAGTTTAATATTTAAATTCCTAACTTATGTAAAATTAAAAAGTTCTTTGAATTTTTTAGATATTTAATGCATTTATTATTATGGAAAGGTATAATTTTTATATAATTAACTTAAAAATAATTAATATTTCTATAAACACTAATGGCTTTTTTAAAGTTTTAAATTATAAAATTCTAAGGTTTTTAAAAATGTAATGATTAATATTTTCATATTATGTAATTGTTTTTTTCTTGAAAATAAATATTAAAAAAAACTTTGAAAGAAAATGTATTAAATATTAACAATAATTGAGGAATAATTTCATTAATTCACTTAGTTGAGGAAAGATATTAATTTATATTTGTTGAATTTAAATTAAGAGGATGTCCGCGCACTTTTTGTTTCCTGTCATTGATCCACGAGCAACATAGCAAATTTGTGTCCAGTAGAAGCAATCTTGTGCTGTTAGGTGTAATATTAGAATTAATTGACTTATTATGAAACAAAGTTACAAACATAATCTAAGTTTGTATGTTGGCTTTATTCAATATTCAAATACATCTGTGATAAAAGAGTATTTTTATATTCTACAACAGATTATGTTCTTATTTTAATAGTTTGATAATATTTAATATAATTTATTCTAATATTAAAGATAACAACAAAAGATTGGTACAGCTAAATGCAAATTTATTGTTGAGTAAGGGTTAAAAAAAAGAAAACAAATAGTGGAAGGACATCCTCTAAATAAGTTTTATTGTCTGTAACAAGCATAATTTTAAGTAAAATGGAAATAACAATTCATTTAAAATCATAATTATAAACGTTTGTATATTAAATTAATAATTATTATATATTTTGAATGTGTATCTTAGACCTTGGTCAACTTCAAAAGTGATTAATTATCAGATAATTTTACAAAAACCATCGAAAATAAAATAATTTTCTTTACTTTAAAATCACAACAGTCAGATTATTTTCATAAAATTTATTATTTTTTTATTGGCCGTCTAATTTTATATTATGTTGGATAGTTTATAATAAATTGGTGATGTTTGTTTGAAATACATTGATTGTAATAAAGGATGTGAATATGTTAAAATATTTATGTTTGCATTTTTAAAATTAGGCAGTGTTGGTATTTGAGGGGCTACTGCGTCTTCTTGGCCCCAAAGATGCTGCTAGCAACGTACGGTTTGCATATGGTTCATATAGTCTTGGAAACTGACTGATACAGTTTCGCTTTGGTATCTTGTCAATTTTAAAGAACGGCGAGTCTCGGGTGTCACATGACCTCGATAACCTCCTTTGCGCAGGAGTGAATCAATTGTTTGTATTTTGTCCCAGCCTGTGAAAAATAAATCCTAATATAACTGTTTTATAGAGGAAAATGGAGAATTTATCAATTAATCAAAACTAATAAGTATAAACATTTTCAGTTTATATTAAACTAGAAAGATTAGTATGATTGTACACAACTATTATTTTTTTTACCTTGTTCTTCAGCCACTTCTGGTAAATAGGTAGCAGTTCGCCTTATTCCACGTTCGTTTTGAAATTCAATGCGTATACCGTGAACGCCGATTTCCCAATCGTTGTAATCTTTGCCTTCCTCGAAGTGTAACAATATCGATATTGTTACATGTAATCGGTTCAATTCGTCGTTTGAGATTGGTTTGAAACGTGAATCCCTCAGTGCACTGTTCAAGAAAAATATAAAATTTAATATACGAATTTATACATTGAAACTTAATAATTGTTAAATAAAAAATACTTGTAAGTTGCAATAATTCTAAATTATCCATATAGTACCTACTCAATAATTTTCGTAAAAATTTGGTAAGTGTTAGAAAATGTTTCAAAACTAGCCCCAATTCACAGTACATAAAACCTAAATATTTATCTATTTTTATTTTAATATATCTATCAATGCATAAAAACATAATATAATAAAACTAATTTTTATGTGTTTTTGAGCAACAATTTGATTAGAAAATTTTAGTTGGAAAATTTAACCATAAACATAATCTTTTATTGTGTAAAAAATATTGAAATCGGTCAATAAATTTTTACTTTGGATTTGCAAGGGGAAATTTTTCAAGTTTATACATAAGGTACACATTATTTTTTTTTTTTTTTTGCTAAATATTAAACTTAATTTCTTGTTAAATCATCTGAATTAAAAAATAATCAGACCAAAGCCAAGACAACTTGTTAATACATTTAGTAAAATAAACAATTTTAAAACTGAAATGTGAGTCTTAAATTTAATATCAGATTTTAGGCCTTTTAATAACAAAAATCAATATGGTTTGCCAGGGCTTTAAATCAAAGTTATGGGCAAAATATAAATAGCTTAAAAAACCGTGGTAATATTATTTTATAATTTTATAAGCATTCAAAATTATCAAACAATTAAATTTGAAGTAGGTTCCTCCTTACCTCTATATCTTAAAAAATAAACTTAGATAATCCCTCAATGTTAGTATTTTTTAATCAAGTTCAATAATAACTTAAAATGCAATATTTATATTTACCTTGTTATGGCGTATTCGCGTAAGCCACTGTGTAAAGCAATTGAATTGAATGTGCCGATGCATCCCCTGAGTTTCTTGTCTACTCCGGTCTCCCATGTTACAAACAGTGGACTACAAAAGAATGAATTGCATTACTTATATAAAAACTACGTTGAGTTCAGAACAAAGCCCCTACTACACAAAAAAAAAAAAAAAGCGAAGAGGAAAACTGACTACATCATTATTACAACAGAGTATGATTTCAGGTGAAAAATTTAATAGCTTTAACTACCACAGGTGCACAGAAATGTTACCCAACATTTTCCTATAATTCAGTATTGCGTACGGTTTAATATTACCTTTTCCCATTGAACTTACAATGGGTCATTTGTGAAATCTGGTTTCTTCGGCGGTTCCAGGCTGTTAAGATAGGAGTAAAGTATATCAAAACAGAAATACCCATTGCTGGGTGGTTATTTTTTGAACTGCACCATCAAGTAGAGCCGTCGACGCACTGCCGCTACCACCGTTGACGTCCAACGACGCCTGATGATGGTGGTGCAGTTTCTGTTTCTTGGTGTTCGTTCCACAAGAACTGGACGACATTTTCGACGTGTGAATGGAGATCGTATAATAAAAACCGTATTTATACTACTACCGCACTAAACGATTACTATAAAGGTAGAATCGAAGTTAAATAGGTATTAATCGTTATTATATTTATAAAAACAATAACCCAACGTCGGAACTAATAGAAATTTAAGGAGATAAAAACTAAATGTCTTGTTACCTAATATTTAGTATTTACTAACTAATAACTGGAGTCAGGAAAACGAGATTTTGTATTATTTTATCACAAAGGAAACAACAGTCAACAGTCAACAGCTGACAGACTGGGACACAATCGAGTACCTAATCAAAGATCATAATCACGAACTACGTAGTTCGTGATCATAATATTCCGTTTCCGATCAGTTGTTACTTGTTTTCATAACATGATTACATTAACGGTAAATCACGATTACGGAATATTTGAAATGTTTGAAAATATTTAATATATTCTGTGCCACGACCACAAATTAGATCTAATTATCTATTATCTAAATATATTTTATATTATGTACTGTCATTTTCGTCATTTTTACGTATTTTGTCAATATTTGAACTTTAAATGCTTATAGAAAAAAAATTGTGACTATGGATTTTAAAATTTTTTTCTTCTGCCTCTGAAAAAATATACTAGGAGCCTTCTATTAAATTTTCAAGCTTTTTTAACCAACAAATAAAACTTTATTGATATTTATAGAAAAAAAAACTAAAAAAAATGTAAACTGAAAATGTCCGTAAACAGCTGAAAATAAGTCAAAATATTTGGAAAATGTTATGGTGTACCTATATAGAAAATACTAATATGAACATTCAGTCAAAATTTCATGTACCTACGGTTATTTTTTTAAGAGTTGCACCAAAAATCAAAATCGACTTTTTCGAAAACAGATCTTGAGTAGGTACAAACTCTCGTTTTTCATTAATACCTATTTCTTTTGTTTTTCACTGCGCTTTTGAAAACTAATTGAAAAATTTTACTTTCAGAAGAGATACTGTTGAAGAAAATCTAAGCACTTTTACTGTCCTCAAATGTGATGACAGAGTACAGACACAAAAAAAAATAAAAATATAAATATAAATAACACATCATTGTAAAATCAATACATTCATCGTTTCACTCAGAACCTAAAATTTTAATTTTAAGGTCCTTTAAAAATGAAAATTTTCAAATCGACTTCCTGAAAAGCCTAGATTTTTTGTCATTGAATTCAGTTTCGTAATTTGGTCATGGTTGTGGGGGGGGGGATGAAATGTATGTACATTTCACCAATAACCCCCCACCCAACATTTTTTTTTTTTTAATCATATAAGCAATAAGCACCTCTCAATACAAGTATATGATCCGTATATAATATATATTATATATATGATAATATTGATGGATGATTGTATAATTATATAATATTATGGAGATTCATGTGATTTTTGTATTATCTATAAAATATACATTAGCAAAATATTGGTACATAAATGTGTTTATCAATTAAAAAAAAAACGGTCATGGGGGGATACGACACCCAAATCCCCCCCGTAATTATGCCACTGATTGAATTCATGGGTACACGTATAAATTATAAAAGCAATGGTAATCGGACATTCCGAAGTACCAAGTACGTATAGTACGTAATTTACCACCGCTTATCGGTCTAAACTCTAAAACGTATGAATATGGTAATCGTACAATGATCGTCAAACTGTAAAACGAACGCGAACGATCTGAATATAAGTAACAGGAACGTATGCTGAGGAAGCGTTGAACGAGTATATTATGTTTTTGCTAAGAAAGGTGAACGAGTAGCGACTAGACCATGCGACCCTGGTACCACTGAGTCGGAATTTTGATACTGTCGATGTTTTCGGAGCTATTTAGTGAAACAAAATATGGCGGTAAAAACACGGTTTTAGTTTGTAAGTAACACATCTCATTCAAGCGGTTTGGAGTAAAAATACCTCTTATACAAATTTTAGAGTAGGTCTTTGTCTAGAACCGTAAGAAGTCCGATTCTCGATATTTTTATTAATAAGCTAAGTAATTAATCTATAAAATGTAAGAAAAACTTGTGATTGGAGGATTGAAATACGATATCAAAAATCGGGTTTCATCACGATTCTCGACAAAAAACTAAATAATTTAAATTTAAATTGTTCGTTACAGCTCAAAACAAGTCAAAATATTTTGAAAATTTTATTAAGTATAGGAATTGATAAACATATGAAATAATCTCAAGTGTCTACTGTCTACGGTTATTCGTTTTTGAATTGAAACAAAATAAGAAAATCGCTATTTGAGAAATTGAGTCATATGTTGTGAAATTTGAACTTCAAACGCTCATAAAAATTTAATTGATTTCTTATAGACGTTTTTTTTTTGAGAAATGTAGATAACCTTACCTATAAGGAATCTTGTATTGCATTTTAAAATTTTACATTTAAAAAGAAACATTTTTATGATTTTCTAAGTAAATATAATTTTCGTATTTGGTAAAGATTTGAACTTTAAATGCTTATAAAAAAATTGAGACTGGATTTTTAATATGTTTCAAACATCTTTGTAACAATATTTTAGGATCCTTGTATTACATTTTCAAGCTTTTTTTACCCAACAAATAAATAGTTTTACTGACATTAATAGAAAAAAAAACTGATAACATTATAAATTGAAAATGACATGTATTACGGTCATTTGTTTTAGAGTTACACCAAAAACCAAAATCGATTATGTCAAATGATTATGTTTTTTCTATAAATATCTATAAAATTGTTATTTCTGGGTAAAAAAGCGTGACAATTTAATGCGAGGCTCCCGATATATTGTTAAAACTTTATAAGGTTATTATATAAAGTTGAAGTAGAAGGTATTAAGTATTTAGTAATATCATAGGCTGACTGACAGTTTTCGCTCAGAATCGTTTTTCTTATACAATGACATTATGTCATTGAATTCAAATTTAACACCATCCATTACAGTGACCCACTTGTTACTGTAGAGTAGAGCGACATCCACTACCCACTTTTTAATTGTTTAGTTGTAGTTCCTTATTTATGAAAATTTTGTTAAGAACATAGATCATGATGATGAATATTGTTTTAATTATTGTCAACATCTATGACAACATATAAATGTAGGTAAACTATAAAAAAATTACACAAATTAATAGCTATCATTGATTGACAAAATGAGTAAATGACGACAAATGGCCGTATCATAGTCATGCAACGCAAAAAGCCCAAGTAAGTATAGGTACTCAAACAAATTCTTACCAAAAAAAAATATATATAATATACACTGGCGCCTGGCCGCCCCCCTAAATGTGTCAAAAATTGACCACCCGGGGCAAATGTCCCCCCCCCCGTGAAATACGGCCCTGATCTACAAACCTTCTACAACATTCTACATATTATTTTAATTTTTAGTATAGACTGATTTTGTAATTAGTTTTTAAAAAAAGTAATGCCCTACCTTTTGAATGAAAAAGTAAAGTAACGCGAATGTAATTTAAATAAAATTATTCAATGTAAGGAGACAAGGAGTAACGTAATTTATTACTTTTCAAATGTAATTTACCCAACACTGCAAAACGGTCATTGAAAAATGAAAAGTGTGGATATGGTATGATTTCTGACTACACCACATCCGGTATATTATGTCCAGTTATTCTGCTTACGGTCACGATTATAATATACTATATACTATATAGTATATTATTTGATTATGTTTATTTTATAGTAATATAGTAATATAGCAATATACTATTTTTTTTTTTGCAGGGTGAGAAGCGGTTGGTTGAAACACGTTTGAATGTCTGGCAAGGATCTGTTGCTAATAGTCCTGGGACCTGGGTGACCCCCCATCCGGGAGCTAGCAACACCGGCCTTTACTTACACTCAGAGCGTTTGTGAGAGACTGAACGAGAAAATTGAGCAGGCTGCCTTGTTTAGGTTGTCTGTTTTTTCGATTACCTCAGCACGAGTTTACTACTACTTCACGCAGTATATTATTTTTAGAACGCTGCATTGCGGCGACGCCGTTTTTTCCAGCTAACAATATTAATCCTAGGAATAGATGAAATTTCATCTATTTTGTGATTTATCTAAACATTAGTTCACGGTACGCTGCACGTCGCCGTCTGTGGTAGGTAGGTTTCACGGCCAGTGGCGATGACATGGTGAATTGTGGCAGAGGGGTAACATGTGTCAATAGTGTATTTTTAAACGCCGTCTATTTTGAGGAACTAGCATTCACCACCCGTCCGTCCATGACTACGAAGAGTTTTCCGCAAACAAACAATAATTTAGAATTATGATACCTATTAATTATTAATTATAATGATTTATGGTCTCGTCGGGAATCCGGATCGCAGTCGAGTGTCGACTAATTTCAATAAATTTAAATATTTTCATACATTTAAATTTTGTATTATCGTCATTATCATCATCACCATCATCATCATCATCATCGTGTTTGTCTTGTCCTACCCATCTGCTGGCCAACTCTCATCGGATATTACGCCAAAAACAAAAACACAGTTATAAAATCAAGTAGCTACAACTGCAATAACGTTACCCTCGCCATCATGACCCACAAACGTTGCACAGCTGACGCGATTGATTTTTCCGCGCCGTCGCCCGTCTCGCACTCTCACGCCTGGTGAGTGACGTTAGTGCGTCGCCGTCGTCGATTCCTTTTGGTCTTCGGTCTGTGCGTGCGTGTGCGTGTGTGTGCGTCCTTCACTCGTTTTGGGTTATTGGCCATCGCCATTACCGCCTTGTAGAACCCCATTATTCGAAGGTTTCGATCAAAACTTATTCGACAATACGAACAATAACATATTATCTACTTACACGACACTCAATACCCCGAAAATGCCAGTCTGTAAACAAGACGGTAAGTAATAAGTATCGGCCATGTCATAACTGTTTGTAAAATATTTAAAACAATTTTCTACTTTTTTATGTTGTTTATGGATGTGAAGCACAACTATAATAATAATAATATTATGTACTATATTATTTTACTATAAATCTTTAGTTTGGTCGATTTTTTATCATTAAGTCTTGTATTATTTTATTTATTTATTCACTTTTTTTTTATCACAGAAACCCTTAGGGCCTTAGCCCTCCTGGAAGACTACCACGCAAAACTCTCCACTGTACCCGGCAATGATCTGCAAGTCGTCATGCAGCTAGTGATCAGCGTCTTTAAGTCCAGGCTGTTTCAGGCACTCGTCGGTAATTCATTTTTATAGCGTTCACACATCAACTACAATTTATTCTTATTCAATTAAATTTAACTATAGATTTTTTATAGTCAATGTTTTAACTAAATATTTGTTTACAAAACTGATGAATACATTTATGAATTATTTCACATTTTCACTCGTGTTCATTAGCATGATAAATAAACAGGTAGTTAAATATGTTGAATTGCTACTCCAGAACTTAAAAAGAAAACCCTATTGGTGAATATATATATATTTAACAGCTGTTATCAATGTATGGTGTAGGCTAGCTTTAAATCTTTCAAAATATTTCAATTATACCTATTATTATTGATTATTTATTAATATAATAGCACACTAATATTTCACTTTAGATGTAGTTGTAAATTTATTGTAACAAAGATATCAACTGAAATCTGTGATCTTGTCCACTCTCTTTTATATGTCATGCGGAATAACGTAACATGACACTGCGTGCAATAATAATGCTCTATCTTGATTCTTGACTAATATTGTTTTTCATTATTTTAGATATACAAGAATTTTATGAATTGGCACTCCAAGATGAAAGTCATTCTGTAACAGATGAAGATATATCAATTGCACAAAAATATATTATGGATCAATTTGATGCTAAAGTTGGTTTGGTAATTACAACTGACCATTTTAGTTTCTAATAACAGGATATTCATTCCCATTCTTAGAAATATATTCATACATTTTAAATTAACATAATATAAATAATTGACAATGTGCATTGTAAGTACATGTATCATATATGCTTCTAAATAAAATGTTACTAATGATAGATCTTAAGTAGTCCATATTGGCTCATAATGTTTATTAGGTCACATAGATTTAATGGTTCTTAATGTAAAACATAAATATTAACAAATAATATTCATTTAGATACAAATTTGAACAATATAAATTCCTAAAAATAAAAACCATAAGATTAACCCGTTCAACACCACGGTTAACGGGTGGTAGTCAACATCATTAACATTGCCCAGGTCACGGTGTCGACTACTCGTCGACAAGTATGTGTTCACTTGGATGATAAATAATTTTGATTGGCGTTGAGATAAGATAATGTTTTTAAATATATTGTAGGCAATCAGGTACTATCTCAAGAAGCTAAAGATACAATCGTTTTTTATTTTTGTATTATTATTAATTTTTTCCCTGAAATAGTGAACCGAACATATTTTGACGCAACCTGGGCTATGCTTTGATAATTCTAGTGGAGCTCAAGATTTTCCTGCTCAACTGTAAATAGCTACTGAATATAAATTTTTTATAGTGTAATATGATATTACTAATATCTATGAACAGTAAATACTTATATTAAATATATTATTTTATTTATTCAATTTATGTATAAGAATATTCTTATAGATTTATTTTATTTTGGTAATTTTATTTAGGATATTCTTGGAGCATGACTTATCTCATGAAAGTTACCCCCATGCTTTTTTACATTTAAGAAATAGAGTAAGAAATATACACAAACTAATTGTCAACTATAATTTTTTGATAGTTATTTATGTATAGTATTTTTAATTAATCATGATTTTCAACATTCTCAAAATCACAACCAATGAGTTAGTTGGTATTCAACATGTAAACAGTTGTACATACATGCCATGACTAGCTTATACATACAACTTAAATAAACTTTAATAAATTATATTGAAATAATATTACTGATAAAAATTAGGATAATGGTTGTTAATTTTTTTATTATAATATTTGAAACATTATTTTAATATTTTATCTAAAATTAAAACTATTATGCTTATATACTTAGCTTAAATATGTTATTAATAATTCTAATTATTAAATATGTATCTTAACAGAGTGATCTTAGTTTTCAACCTTTAGAAACTGAATGCCATCGAGATTATAAAAAGAAAGAACTTGTGGATATAAGTTGTCAAGTATGCGTTTAGAAAAAAAAAAAAAATTTTGTGTTTATACTTATAATTTTTTTTTTTTTTTGTAGATTAATGGGCTAAGTGGACATACTGGTAATCAGTCGTGTGGCGATGCTACTGAACAAGAATCTAATCTTGAAACTGTAAGTGTAATTCAATAATTGTTAATTATGGGGGCTTAAGTAATTTGGAAAGTATATCAACTTAAATGAGATTATAGAAAGTAATTTTTTAGAACATTTGTTTGGTTCCTATAACAGTGGACATAAATATACATTACTTTGTTTTTATTTCGGGTGGTTTTGATGCTGGAAATTCAAATGTCAAAAGATTGTACTAATATTATTATAAATTAAATTATTCTTAAAAACTTTATACTTAAGAAATTATACTATAGATAAAAGATAACAATACATAAGGCTTTTTATAGAGTAAATCATAATTTATTATTATTAAAACTTAGATCATAGGAGTTTAGTGTATGATCACCTTCTTTCATGGTTTTGTTTAATTTTAACTGGTAGAATTCTAAGTGTTAAGTGCAAAGAAAGAACTTAACTGTGAGACATTTATTATACAATATATATGTTCCTAAGGGCTTAGGGTGGTAATTTAACCGCTCTATTATTTATGATGTTTCTAGTAAATTAAAATTCTCCAAAATGTTATTACTAGTTTGTCTTTATTTCATAAGTCATTATGACAGTTTACTTCTTCAGAACTATTTTTCAAGATTGGTCATTGGTTTAATGATAATACCATGTCTTTAAATATAGAAAAATAGATAACTAATTAATTTTCTTTAAACAGGGACACTATTCATTATAATTACACTCTGAACAACCTAACTATCTTAGCTATAGCTGAAGTAAATAAGTAAATGATTTATGGATCTTAATTGATTCATAATGTTCTTTTAAACCTTATGTTCATAATACCACTATCAGGCATTACCTAATTTAGTTTAAATTAAACATATTTGTAAAGATTTCAAAGAAATACTAATTAATATCATTGAAATAATTGTATGGATTGTCCTGAATTAATCAAGCATTTTAATTTCATAATTTATCTATCAAATGTACTGCTCTTTAAACTAACAAAGATATTTTAATGTTTATATATTTATTTGTTTATATTTTTACTATGCATAATCAATGGTAGTACTAATACTATCTTAAACTGTGGACACAACATTTTTCTGTTTTTTTGAACATTTAACTGTACATTTTATTTTATATACATTGGAATTTATTTTTTTGTAATAGAGAATATTATTATTATAAATTATTATAATATTTATTACTTAAGATTTTGTGAATGGCTTTAATGAGTTTGTATAAATTTATTTTCTAATAATTATTTAGGACGATGAAACTGAATATTGGGAGTATGATAAAATAACAGTTGAACGAGGCTCTGGTGGCCTAGGTTTCAGCATTGCTGGTGGTGTGGATTCAGAATCATTAGTTCTTGTGACTCGAGTTAGTCCAGATATTGGTCCAACTGGCCTTCGTGCTAATGATATTATTTTAAAAGTGAATGATCAGTCGTTGGAACACGTTCCACATAGTTTTGCTGTAACTGCTCTTAAAAATGCTGGAGATGTTGTTACACTAGTATGTTTTGTTTTTAAATTATTCATTGTGTATTTATTAATAATTTTTAATCTTTATGAACAACTAGCATGTAAAACGGCGCAAAAAGGATGCATTTGTTGAACCAGAAAAATCGTATACAGTTACAGAAATTGAATTAGAAAAAGAAGATGGAGGTTTAGGCTTCACAATAGCTGGAGGCGTTGGTAATGTTCATCTACCTGGAGATAGTGGAGTTTATGTTACAAAAATTTTAGAAGGTGGTGCAGCTCATAAAGATAATCGCATGGAAGTAGGTGACAAATTGATAGCTGTTAAAAACACACTGGTATGTATTAATTTAAAATTGTTTGTTCACATAAATAATAATAATTCATGAATGATCATTCATTGTACTTATTTATAGAATGGTGATGTAGACTTAGAAAATGTTACTCATGAAGAAGCAGTTGCTGCACTTAAAGAAACTGGCGATAAAGTCATACTTGTCATTGGTATGTACATTTATTTGTCTTAATTTAATATAAGTATAATTTTGTATTTTTATTTTTACTATTATAACTTTTAGTAAAAGAATCTCTTAGCATGCGTTATATAAAACCAAAAACACCAATTAAATCCAGCATTTCATCAAAATCAAGCAGTGAAAATATATCATTAATGTATGTATATTATTTATTATTTTAATATTGTATACTAACATGAATAATTTTAAAAAAATTTGCAATTTTTCAGGCTTGAAAAAGTAGCTACTATTCGAAGGTCTGATGAAGGATTAGGATTTAACATAATCGGGGGGGAAGATAAAGAAGGTATATTTATTTCTTATGTGGCACCTGGTAGTCCAGCTGATCAAAATGGCATTTTAGAACCAGGTGATCGTATTTTAAGTGTTAATGCAATTGACATGCTAAATGCCACTCATGATGATGCTGCTATAGCTTTAAAAGTAATTTTATTTATCTTACATGCAATTTTAATAATTAGTTGAATATAGTTTTTAATAATTTTAATTTTTCTTTAGGGCGACGGACCAATTGTTACTATTATAGCTCAACAACGGCCAGAAGAATATCATAGGCTCCAAATTAAATTAGCAGATATTAAAGAACAATTAATGAAAAAAGTTGTTGTGTCTTCAAGCACATTACCAAGACCTTCTCAAAAATTACAGTTATTTGTCAGGTATTTAGTTTCAAATTACAGTTAAAAGATAAAAATAGGGTTCACCATTGTCCATTATATGACGTTATCAGTGTATCATGGGAGGATAGGCAATTTCTGGCCTACCGGAAAATATTTGTTAGGTATCATATTTGTACAATTTAGTACCAGGGCTGAAGTCATGGGAAGGGGGGCCTCAACATACAACACAGATGATAGCCTACCTGGAAAATCCCGATTTCCCAGTGGGCATATCCTTCCATGTCAGTGTTCAACTTGTTAAAAACCTGATGTGTATTCTTATTGGTCACTATCAATCAAAAATCAGTCTTATAAAGTATACAAATTTTTTTTTTTGTATTATTTTATTCATTAAAAAATACTTTTTAATAAAATCTATTTTAATAGTTTTGAATACAGGGGTGTACCCAGGAATTTTTCAAAGGGGGTGGTCCAAATTTTTAACATGTAAAAAGTATACAATCAGTGGTTTTTATCTTAAAAACTTTAAATTTGTCAATAAATGGGTGAGATCCAGACCTGAAAACCCCTCTTGGGTACGTCCCTGTTCGAATATGTATTCAGAATACTTCAATACTCATTTATTCTAATACGCATTCCTAGTACAAAATAAAAGTATTCTTTACAAGAAAAAAAAATAAAAATGTAAATTACTAATTAAAAACTATAGAAAATGTATAATTATAATTTTATTAAAAATGCAATATCAATATTTAATACATATTTTAATTTTAATATACATCTCTAAAAAACATAGATTTTAATTAATTTTTAAATTCATGTATTCTGTATATAATACGTATTCTAATAAGTAATAACTAATAACCATTTACCCTATGTATAATATTTAGAGCTTTGTTTGATTATGATCCAAACCGAGATGATGGCCTCCCAAGCCGTGGCATATCATTTACATATGGTAGCATTCTACACATACTTAATGCTAATGATGATGAATGGTGGCAAGCTAAGAAGTTGGTTCCAGCTGGTGAAGAGGAACGTATTGGTATTGTACCTTCAAAAAAGCGCTGGGAACGAAAACAAAAGTCAAGAGATCGTACAGTTAAATTTCAAGGACATGTTCCAGTTCTTATTGATAAAGTAAACACTTTTTACTGTGTTCTACTGTTCTATACATGTTCTATACTGTTCTACTGTTCTATACATGCTACAACAAATGTATTTTATTTTATTCAGACTTCCACTTTGGAAAAAAAAAAGAAAAATTTTGCTTTAAGTCGAATGTTTCCATTCATGCGTAGTAAAGCAGATCGTTTGGAATGTACTGGAACAGACCAAGATCGTAAGTATTATTTTTCCTTATAGTATCTTATTCAAAAATGGTTTAAGAGATTCCCCATTGAATCTGGTTGAATTATTCTTCTCTCTTCCTTTTATACATAATGTACAGTAAACATTGGGTTTACAGATTATATGCTTTGTTACACTCACGAAGATCCAACATCTGAAGGTATTAATTTAAGCAGCATAAGCATAATTGAACTACTTGTTGGTAAGAGATATTTCACTAGGTATATACATCCTTTCTTTCCTTTCATAACCATTTATTTATTATTTTTTATTTAATAGCATGAAATGTTTATGACTTAATATATTTTTTTTATTATACTATGCTTTTTAAAACTAATAGTGCCCACCTGTTTGCATGATAACAGCAGTTAGCATGCGGTTCGATAATTTACCTACACAATAATCACAAAAATTAATCCATTTTAGAAACCTTGTATTTATTAACATTAATTTTTCCCCTTTTGTATTATAACATTACGTAGACTTTTAGGTATTTGGTTTAAATTTCATATTCAAGTGCAATAAAATTATACGTGTAATAAATTGTAATAAATTTAAAACTCAGCAGGCCAAATGTGTCATTAAGTCTTATTACAAAATGTCAATGATGTTAACCTAAACTTGAATATTAACTTATGCTGTTATTTAGTAAAAAATACCTTAGAAATATCTCAATATAAAAAAATATTTTTTAAATAGAAATTGTTTTTAGGTTATTACTTATAACAATCTGTTTATTTATTTAATATTATATAGAAAAAAAAAATTTTTAAATTGAAAGTATTATTCATCTACATTTATGACGTATAACATTTATTCTTTTTTTTTTAGAATATTTAATTTCATCAGTAATCTTCTTTTCTAGGTGTTGTATACAGTGTAATATATTTGTTCATTCAAATAGTAACACAAAATATTTTAAATAGATAAACATTGACTGAAATTTGAATTTGTTGGGAAAGGTAGAGGCGAATTTAACATTTTTTAAGAATTTTAGTGCATGCATGCGCAATAAAGCATATTTCTTTTTAAATGGCAACACACTATTACCAAATTCAAATAGCATTTTATTTCAAGCAACTGATAAATAAACTTTTTTTTATCTCAAAATTTGACAAATTCAAAGCTATTTATATTCTAGGACGCAATTTCTATAATAAAACTAGGGCTGCCAGGGCCCTACCCTATTTTTTCAGTCAGTCTTGTGATTGTGAGTTATACAATGAGAAACTTCACCCTCCTCCACAACTCACCCCATATTTTAATAGTTACATTTTACATGGCTTTATACTAAACAAATACAGAATTTTCTTAATTTTCAAAAAAATTGTGGAATCATATTTTTTTTATCACAATGTTCTCTTCACACAATTGCGTGTTCCTTAGATTCAAAAATTTTTTTTTTTTAAGAGGGGGGATGCACATTTAAAAGCTTGTTTAGGGATGGCCCACCAACAAAATGTCCAACATTTAAAACAAAAAAATAACAGAGGCTACTTAAAAAAGAACACATTTTTGCGGCTTGTGATTCATGCGTTATTTACAACTTTGGGTAATTTATCAGATAATTTATATTATTTTACTTATGTGATTTGGTTATGTAAATAATAAAAGAGATTAATTAATGCTAAAATAAAATGTATTCAAAATGTTTTAAATAATTTTTTGACCCCCTCTCCTCTGTACCTTTCTGTTCAAACGAGGTCTTTACATGTACATAAATTTGACTTTTCTTTGATAGATAAAAATTATTACTAAATTTAATAAAATATGACTTATAAATTTGTTTTTCTTGCTGTGTTAGTCAACTGTTGTGATCAAAAAAATTTTTAATCAAGTTGCTTACAAAAATTGGGCACAATATTTTAATAATGGAATTTGGTATAATAATGTGCCGCCATTAAAAAAAAAAAAAATTGAAAATATATTAAGCAAATACATCTGGAAGTCAAGGGTTAAAATTTGGAAAATAGTATTTTAGTATCCCCTATCTTTCTAAAATTTTCCCATTTCAACTTCAGGTAATCCGGCTGAAATATTTTGTGTTACTATTTAAGTTAAACATTGTATACAATATAATTTTTTTTTTAAATTTAATATCAATAATTTAATGACATTACATAAATAACAAATATATTAATTCATAAATTTAATTTAATATTATGTATGTTATATTTTAGAAGAACCAATTTTACCATATGAATCTGTTATTAAGAAAACATTAAACTATAGTCGCCCTGTCATTGTAGTTGGAATTTACAAAGACAAAATAAATGATCATTTAATATCAGAATATCCAGAAGAGTTTGGATCATGTGTTCCTCGTAATGACTTATAAATTATTAGCTATTGATTATACAAATTATAAAATGTTTTGTACATTATATAGACACCTCAAGAGAAATTCGGCATGGGGAAGTTGATGGTGTTCATTATCACTTTATTAAATCACGTGAACAAATGGAGCGTGATATCAAAGAACAATTATTTATTGAAGCTGGTCAGTTCAATGATAATTTATATGGAACCTCTTTAGCTTCAGTCCAAGAAGTTGCTGAACAAGTATAACTAATATTCTCTTCTATATGTATCAAATTTATTTTTAACTATAATATTGTGTTATGAATTCTTCTAATTTATTGTTTCCTTTAAATGTTTATAGAACAAACATTGCATTCTTGATGTAAGCTCCAACGCTATTAAACGTTTACAAGCAGCTGACCTGTATCCTATTACCATATTTATTAAAGCATCTTCTCTGGACTTTATAATGTAATTATTTAAATATTTAATTTGTTAATTTCAAAAATTTAAATAATGGTAACTATAATTTTTTTTAATATTTAGGAAAATAAGTGATAAAATGACCGAAGACCGTGCAAAAAAAATCTATGATCAAGAAATGAAAGTTGAACAAGATTATAATGAATATTTAACAGGTAAACAGATTTAGATAACATTGATATATATTTTTTAATCATTAAATATGTTTTCATACATTTACAGCTATTATAAAAGGTGATTCGTTTGAAGACATTTTTGAAAAAGTAAAAAATGTTATTGATGAACATTCAGGACCTGATGTGTGGTTACCAAATAAAGATCTCACTATCTGAAATGAACATGCTAGAATGTAGTGATTATTCTAATTGAAAAAAATGCATAAGTATCTAATTACTTTAGAAGCATTTAGGTATAGATTTTTAAAAATTGATGATTTATACTACATCATATATTTTACAAAAAAAAAAAAATTACAGGTAACATTTACAGGTCCTTTTAACCATAAATAAACATTTTTAATCCCCACACATATAAATGTTGATCAATTTTTCTACTAAAGAACAAATATTTACATACAGGATTAAACATATAGCATTATAAATAATTATATTTTTTAATAGCATGTAGGTAAAGTAACTAATTTTTATGAAAAATTGCTTTAGTTTTCCTTTTATTCAGTCTAATGTAATGATTATCTTCCACTAGTTATTATAAAATATGTATAGATCTTAGGAGGTATTTTGTAATAATCATATTTGAAACAATTGTATTTATCATTTTTAAACCTCTGGAAACCAAAAGCTTCCCAATTATGCAGTTGCCAATAATTATTACAGTGGTTGTTCAATGATATTATTGATTGAATCGTTCATTGGTTAGAAAATGATTAAATTAACTTATGATCCTATACAAAACAATCATTATTATTTTTAAAAATTTTTAAAGTATATTTCATATTTAGGGGGAATGAGTGGAGAAGCTAATGACTTAGCAGTTAACAATGATTTTGAATGATATGTATTTTGTAGATTCTGAGCAAGTTTTGTCTTTAAAGAAATTTCGGAAAACAACAAATTATGTTGAAGAAATGTAAGTCAGTAAGATAGTTATGTTTATTTTTAGGTAAACCAAGCTATTATTATAACTGTTTTTTGAATTCAATGATTCATCATTGCCTTTAAATTTAAAGATATCTGCACCAGTCAACTTTTGTAAGTAATTGTTTTCGATCTATTAAATGAACATTTATAATATACTAGTAGACCATACTATTTGTATATTTAAATTTTAAATATTAAATTAATTTAATCCATTATTACTTCTCTAGTCCCAAAGCAACCACTTAAGTGTTATTCGATGGAAGTATGAAACCACATTGTTTAATTAAAATTAACTTGACTCATGAGTTCTTATTTTCAGAATATGTTATAGAGGAAAGATAAATTGGTTTTATTTATATACCACTATAAGTAAGTGTTCTTGAAAAGTAACAACAACTTCCCAGGGCCTTTAGACATGTGCTATATGTGCTATATGCTATAATAAAAATGTTAATTTTAATATTCTAAATTCTAAAGTGCATCTCACGCCTAAAAATTTTAAAACATGATAAATAATTTATCTGGTTTTTTTTAAATTAATTAATATTAACTACTATAACTTACAGATTAAGCTCATTATTGTGTTTTTTTTTTTAAACTAATAATAATATTTTCTTTCAATATTGTATTCATTTTATTTTTGTACATTTTAGCTAGGAAATATTTTAAAATGTACAAAATTATACTGAATTACATTTATCAGAAATTAAAAATATATTGTTCTAATACTAGTTAGGATCTTATCTGACTTATGGTGTTAAGTGGTTAAAAAATAGTTCAATTGAAAATTTGTTTGATATTTTAAACTGAATATTTGAGTATAGGTATTACTAAAAACTAATATATAATTTAATTATTGAATAGATAATAGGTATGTATTATTTATTTATTTAACATTTAGTAAATAACAAATGTTGAACAATACTTAAGATTTATATTTAACTAGGTTTCCTATCAAGATTTATTACTATTCTAGTCATTGTTAAACTGTTGAAGTAATTTATATTTAAATTTGTTATAATGTACCTACTAATAAAATAATGGTTTATTGTAAAATTTTATATCTATAAGTTTGTAGGCAATATATTTATTAACATTCAAATGTAACTTATACTTTATTTTAAACATTAAAATTATCTATCAAGAATAGGTAACATGAAGAAGTTGTCTACTGTTTTTTGTTCACTTTTCACATTTATTTATTACATAATAATATATTAATATGTATAATATATTCCTAGTAAAGTGGTAATATATTTTGGAACTTAGTTACCTTACCGGACCCCCTTTTTTCTCTAACTTGTGTAGTCGGGTATACAGAAAACAATGGTTACCTAAATCAGAATTTGGTGGTGTGATTTGGTTTCAAAGTTATGGCTTAATGAAGTTTCCGATTTTGCGATTTTCAAACTGTATATTTCTATTATACTATAGGAAGTGGCTAACGAATTGTTCTGGTCAATATTATAAAATAATAATTGAGGGAATCGCTGGAAAAAAAACCAATGGAAAAAAATTTGAATATAAATGTAAATAAATGTATTAATTAATATGGTAATATTACTTTTAATTGGTAAAATTGGGATTTTTGGTATAAATCAATAAATGTAATAAAATATTAATATAAGTTTGAAAAATATAGGTAATTACAAGAAAAATGTATTATGACAATTTACAACTAACCTGTCCGGCTGTCCATCTTTCTAATCAAATTATCAAACCAAGTACTTATAACATAATATTATAAATAATTTAAACATTATAATTATGTTTCGAGTTAAATAAACAGTAATACAGTATAATCAACGAAATGATTTAAAAATATAAAATATTACAATTTTACGGCACTCGCTTGAACTATTATTTCCGAGGGCTTTCTTTCCTCCGTGTATTTATTTTGTAATTTGTTGTGCAAGCGATGCACCCTAGATCGGGTGGCCGTCCTCGACTAATCTTATGCAGTTATCACCGAGTTTTCACCAAACTCTGGGCAAATTGCTTACAACTATGCTACAGCTTTGACTAGATTACAGGATTATAGCCAACAGCCAGAATGTTCATTGAAATAATATATGTAACAATATGATATTAATTAATTAACAATCAATAATCATATTACATTTTTACAGTATACGAGTACGCCAGTAGTACGCATATATACTTTAAGTTTTAATTCCAATATTTGATTAATTTAAATATTAACTTTTAGAAAAGCATTAATGCCGGCATTAATGTTTACAGATACCTAAGTACTTAGGGTAATAGTTTAAATAGATAATACAATTTATTATGTATACCTTTAATAGATGCAAATTTACCATTTTAAAATGTCATTGTGTGCAGTGGCGTATTTACGAGGGGGGGGGGAAATAAGCTGTTATAATATGTAAAAGTTTTCGGAGTCCTAACATAAGACCTCTAACTTTAAAACCGTGGATACGGGATAAAATAATATCCACGCCCCCCCCCCCTCATAACCAGGACCAAAACCTGTAAGGAAAATAACGTGTTCGTATTTTTGATTCGATTGATTATTTCACGTTTATTTCACATACGTAATACAGATACAATTTGGTGATGTGTAATACAGTATTTCTTTTCAATTATTATATTATATTATACTCTTGCGAGTGTACATAGAAAATAGTTTAATTACGGGATTTACATAAAATATGGGGGAACGGCGTGAACATTTAACTCACGGTTTGTCGAAAGGTATGTGGCTGGATGATGGCGGCAATGAGCATCCACGTACAGTGGCGCGATCACGGCGGCGCGGTAATAATTTATTATTACCGGCGTGAACGGTTCGACTTTGGAAATCAACAGTGACTCGGCTCTGCGTGGCGGTATGTTGATTTGAATGGTTTGGTGCAGGACGGCAATGGCTCGGCTGATGCGACGGCTCCGTTGGTCTGCTCGTAACTGGTGGTTGCACGTTGATCGGTTTCACGGGCTGCTCAACTCGGACGGTGGCGCTTGGTGATAAAGGATGCGTGACCACAGTGGTACAACTCGCGACGCACGGCGACGGTGGTAAAGCGTACTGGAGTTACCGGGCAAGACTATTTGAATGTCCGTTCTTGGCGATCAGAAAAGACCGTCCGGCTCATTCAAGTCCGTGGGGTAAATAGCTGTGTGTAGATTCAGGAGTAGCGTCCGTTCGTGGCGATCATTAAGGATCGTCCGGCTCGCTATTCACTGTTTCTCAGCGGGGAGATCGTGTATCCGTTTTGTCTCATTACATTGTCCCCTTTTTTATTTATATTTTTTTTTGTTTTTTACCGAAAAAGTATTTTTGATTAAAAAAAATAGAAATAAAAACTTTAAAATTTTGATACTTTATGCTGTTTGTATTTGAACGTCTACGTGGTGTTATGGGTGGCGTTGGCGTTGAGCTGTCTTGATCCGTTGGCTCTTTTCCCTGTATATTAATCTTCGAATTCGAGCCTTGGAAATGTTCTCGAAATCTTTTAGATACTGTTTTGCTTCTAAGATACTCTTCCTAACTTCCTCCGATGTTCCTGGGTGCTTATCGATCATCTGCTTGATCGTTCTGGTGATGGTTTCAGACTCGGTTTCGCTTAAACTGCTGGATCCAGACGATGCTGCTTTCTCTTGAGGCTCTGTGGGGGTGATATTGTGAGCTTCCTCCGATCCTCTTACCCATTGTTTTAAAAAGTCATCCCATGTCATCCCTGTGGCCGAGGGTCTTCGAGTGGCTTGAATTGTAGTTGGAAGTTCCCATGAGGGCTCGGGGTTGTACCGTGTTCTTTTTGCCTCCTCTTGACGATAGAACATGGCGATTCTTCGTTTTTGTCCAACACTCAACAGTGGGTCAATGCTGGTGACTTCCATTTTGTTCACCGCTTCTTTGTTACGCAACTTCGTCAATGGGATTTGAACAAGCATTTTTCTGGGTTCGGTTAAGTTGATGGGACTGTCATCCAAATTCTCGTTGACTTCTACATTGAGCAGGTGCTCTTTGATTACCTTTGGTTCTCTATTGGCGAATGGTACAGTGATTGGTATACCATTGACGTTGAATTGAACTGTTTGTCTGTTAAATTTTATTTGTGCAGAGTATTTGTTCAATATGTCCGCTCCAATAATTCCTTTTTCGTTTAGGCCTTCTACCTGAATGAAATTAGTCTGTAGGTAAATATTACCTATTTTGCATTCACAAAATATTTGTTTAGATACTTTGCATATTTTCTTCCCTACGGCGTTGCTTATTTGTATGCCAGTGACTGGTAGTTGCGGTATTCTGTTATTTTTCTGCGTGATCACATCAATCACTTCCTTGGTGAGTACACTTATCGTGGCTCCGGTGTCGACCAAAAATATTATTTCCTCCCCTTCAATTTCACATTTCAAGTACGGGCTTATTGATGCATTTGTGGTACTTAATGAATTTACTGCGTAAGTTTCATTATTACTTGGTCCTGCCTGTGGGTCTACATTTACCGATACTTGTTTGATTTGTTCAGTTTGTGTTTCACCAGGCTTGTCGTTGTCGTTTGGTCGGTATGGCTGGTTGTTGTTCCACCGATTGTTCCGCGGCGGCATGCTGTTCCAACCATTGTTCCGTTTATGGTTCCAATTATTGCTTTTTTGTTGACTGTTATTATTTCTGTCCGTTGCTGGTATTTCTTTTGTATTTTCTTCTTCTCCCAGAATTTTCATGGCAGCTATTATCGTTCTCTCAGGTAACGATACAAGTATTGCTCTTAAATAACCAGGATAGTGTTTGGCAATGTGTTTTACTATTTGTGGCTCCGACAGTCTTGGTACCTCTAGGTGTCGCAATTTTGTGGCCCAGGTCGTAAAATGTTCTCGGTAATTTGCTGTTACCTGATTTACATTTAAGCATTGGCTCCAGACTTGAATTTGAATTTCCCTGGACCAATACTCATCAATGAATGCTCTCTTGAAATCTTCGTAATTACACAATTGAAAACGCACCGTGAAAAACCAATTATACGCGTTCGATTTTAGGCAATCTCCCACGACAATGATTTTTTCTCCCACGTACGTTTGTTTAATGGCGAAATATTCTTCGAGTCGACTTAGGAAATCTCGCGGGTGTATGTCCCGTCCGTTCCCAAAAAATGTAGGTCGTGCAGTATCTGTTTGATGTAGATTATTATTATTATTTATACAGTTATGCGTTGGTGGTGGTGATTGTCGTTGTTCCTGACGCTCATATTTTTGTTCAAGTTCTATTAATTTTCTTGACCCATTTTCTTCAATGTTTTCTATTTTTGTGCGATATTCGTCTTGGGTGTTTTCAATTTGCATTCTGCATTCGTCTTTAATATTTTCAATTTTTTTCAATAATTGATTTACCAAATATTGACTGTTTCGTTCAACTTCCTCCTTTAATGTGTTAAATGCTTCTCCCGTGACATTCTTCTTTGGAGCCATGTTCACGATGTAGTCTTTCTTCTTTGCAAATCGAAGAAAGAGAAAAAAATAATTTTTTTTTTTTTTTATTCTCGTGGGTCGATGTAGAATTATCTTCTTACTCGAGCACTGCAATTGGGCGCCAAATGTAAGGAAAATAACGTGTTCGTATTTTTGATTCGATTGATTATTTCACATACGTAATAATTATATTCGTTATACGGATACAATTTGTTGACAGTATTTCTTTTGAATTATTATATTAAACTCTTGCGAGTGTACATAGAAAATAGTTTAATTACGGGATTTACATAAAATATGGGGACGGCGTGAACAAAATACTCACGGTTTGTCGAAAGGTATGTTGTGACTCGGCTCTGCGTGGCGGTATGTTGATTTGAATGGTTTGGTGCAGGACGGCAATGGCTCGGCTGATGCGACGGTTCCGTTGGTCTGCTCGTAACTGGTGGTTGCACGTTGATCGGTTTCACGGGCTGCTCAACTCGGACGGTGGCGCTTGGTGATAACGGATGCGTGACCACAGTGGTAAAACTCGCGACGATGGTGGGGAGCGTACTTGAAGTTACTGGGCAAGACTATTTGAATGTCCGTTCCTGGCGATCAGAATTGATGATCGTCCGGCTCATTCAGTCTGTGGGGTAAAAAGCTGTGAGTAGATTCAGGACTAGCGTCCGTTCGAGGCGATCTTTAAAAATCGTCCGGCTCGCTTTTCACTGGTTCTCAGCGGGGAAATTGGTTGCAACGGGACGTCCGCCAGCAGCCTGTATTTATGACATTCGAGGCTCGCTGGTCCCGTTCAGAATATCGTTTGACATTTCATGTGTTTCTGGGTTTCCAGTAGTTGTTTAAGATGTTTGGTAATACAAATCTTATTGTACAAGTTGCACTGATTCTGAATATGTACTTGGTTTTTCGATAGCTTCAACCGTTCACACGGGAAACTCATGTTTTCCGTGGGCGGCGCACGTTCATTATTATTGCGCGGCGGCAGGCGCGCTCTGTGGTTTAATGTTGTTGTTATGCTCCGTTGGTAGGTACATGTTCCGATGCGGCGATTGATGTTACATGCTGTTAATGATTACAAACAGAGTGCGCTACGTGTGTAGTCACTCCGTTTTGTCTCATTACAAACCTAAATACGCCACTGATATTGTGTGTATAACCATAGATTAAACATACTAGTATATTTAATCCATGGTATAACATATTAGCTGATCCCGTGCACTTCGTCGCCCGTTAAATGTATCAACTCAATATGACTCAAACTTTGTTCAATTCGTTATTCAATATTCGGTGTATGGTGTTCAAAATTTATCTTATCTTTTCCGTTGCCCGGAATAAAAATTCTGAATCGCAGCAGTACATTATCAGGTAGGCAATCTACCTGCGGTAGATCGCGGACCCCGTGCTGTTTGTACGGAAGTGTATGATTTAACTCTAAAGTATCAAAGTTATACCAAGTTTATTTTGATATAATACGGTGGATTAATATAACAAATTTGGTTGCTCGTAAAAAATCGCAACTCTTAAAAAAATTATGATTGTTGAACTCCTTTTGGGTGTAACTTGCTGCCGTAAGTGCAACTCATTCACCCTGGTAGGCAATGTTCAATAATTCGATTTGATGCAAGCTTATACCTGTTCTGCCCGTATAACCAATGGCAACCAATAAATAAATGCTAATTTCTACTGTAGACTATAACCAATGGCAACTATTAATAAATAAAAATAAAATTTCCAATTTCCATCGTGAATCTCAATGTCCCTGTTTGAGCACCTATTAAAAATGCGAATTTTGGCAAATCCTTTCTTATTGCATGGTGAAAATATGAGGAGAACCTTTATTCCAAATTTCAAGTCCGTACGTTGAGTAGTTTTTGAGATACAGCGATCAGTGAGTCAGTGGTATTTGGATTTTATATGTATAGATAACTAATTATTGACTAACATTATCGGACTTTATTTATGCCTAAAACCTGCTCCGTGATATCCTCTTTCATTTAAAAAAAAATGCATGACAATTGGATAAGAAGTTTCGAAGCCAAACCGTAACAAAGATTTCCTCTTTTGCTTGATTTCAGTTTTATATATATAGATAATAATATGTAGCCCAGGTAGCCAGTAGGCATACAAAATAATTGACTCAAATTTTCACATGTTTAATGTAATTCAATAATAAAATAATAGTTACAATATAAGACCCCCTAAATAAATTAATCTATAATTTAAGGAGCCACGAATTTGTATATACCCTATGACTAAAGACCTCCTTGGCATTGGCTATAATGTATAAGTACGTTATATTATCTACCTATACATAGATACATAGTAAATTATTTTTATTGAGTGTTGGCCACAAACATAATTTAAAACGTTTATTAACATTTCATTCTTATGCTATATTATAATATATACTATGCTGGCCAAATAATATGTCTGTTATTAATCTTCTTTTAGTTTATATAATAGAAACCAACCTATTTTCACTGTTTATTTATTATTAATATTTATATTGTTTCAATTTTGTTCATAAAACTTAGATTATTATTTACATAGTTTAAATTAAGTATATCAGTTTTACTTTCACAAATTATATTAACATTTTTCCGATTGCTATTTTAATTTTATATTTTTTAGTTGAAATTCTTTTAACTTTCTTTATTATTTTTTGATTTGTGAAGAATTAATTGTTCATTTTATTTTCAATATAAAACCATTACATACCATAGTTTTCAATTCATAGATCCAAAAATCAACTATGAACACAGTTTTCAATAAACATACAGGCTTTTTTTTATCAGAACACGTCAACACGGATCCGAAATAGTTTTATGTACCTACTTCAATGATTCATAACTTTTAAACAATATTAAGGAAAAGTTTTTGAGTCTGTGTATGATAGTAAAAAATTGTTTTGATGTAGGTAACTATGACGACTCAACCAAGGTAAGCTACTAACTAGATAGGTACCTAAACTTCCTAAACCAAGTAAGATATTAGATATAATACAGTAATACACCTATTAATAATTCCTTTTCCCAAATTTGTTTTGCTTCAATAGACATAAGTTATTAAAAAAATACTCTTAACTTTGTTGAATAAGCCAGGGCGTTATTTCAACTTATTGAAAGGTATGCTAAGAATTAGGCATTCCTATATATTTTGTACCAACTATTGAGTTATTACAAAAACTGTATTTTCTCGCTGCGATCGATAAGTGATAATTAGGATCTTAATTTTTCCATCTAATAATCGAATAGGTATAGTCATTGGCGGAGTATGGGAACCAAATCCAGGCCGGGAGTTTAAAATTTATCCAGGCCACCCACCAAAATTTTTTTCTCTCTAAGCTCGAATTTGGTTTTTCTATTTACCTATTTCAAAACTACTTATAGTATTTTAAAAGTATTTCAATCGCTATCTTGCTATTTCTTTTAACTTCTGTCTTCCAACACATTACATTAATATACCACTAAGTACTTATACCTGAAAGTCTGAAAAATAAAATTAGTAGGTATGGTTTAATAGTTGAAATCAACGAAATATTAATAATTATATTAAACATTGTGTTTTAATTGTTTAGGTTTAGTAGATATAAGGTAATAAGTAATAGATATATACAAACATTGTAAACAATATATAATAAAAAAGATTTATACATTCATAGTAATAATTTAGATAATAGTTAGATTTCTCACCAACTGCATTTATGATAATATTGTTATCTATTTCCATGAGAATTTTATTTTCAATGGCCATAAGCATAAAAGACTCAAGATAATCATTGGTCATTGAATTTCTCAGCCTAATTTTTAAATACTTCAATGTTTAAAATAGGTGTTTTATTATAAAAATAACGGACCTATTACAATATTACAATATTATATTGCTTTGATTTTATTTGATGTCTATATTTATGTGCCAAATATTTTGTAATTTTATATCCAAAGCTTAAATAATTAATTAATTAAAAAAAAAAAAAAATTTAATAGAAACAAACATTTAGCATTAACTAATATTTTGTAAATTTAAAAAAAAAATCTAACAAAATGGCCAGGCCACCAGGCCATCTGGAAAATTCCCATTTCCAGACCGGCCACTCCGCCCCTGGATAAATACATACATTGTAAACAATATATAATAAAAAAGATTTATAAATTCATAGTAATAATTTAGATAATAGCTTAGATTTCTCACCAACTGCAGCGTTTATGATAATATTGTTATCTATTTCCATGAGAATTTTATTTTCAATGGCCATTAGCATAAAAGACTCAAGATAATCATTGGTCATTGAATTTCTCTGCCTGTTTTTTAAATACTTCAATGTTTAAAATGGGTGTTTTATTATAAAAATAACCGATCTATATCAATATTATATTGCTTTGATTTTATTTTATGTCTATATTTATGTACCAAATATTTGTAATTTTATATCCAAAGCCTTATCATAAGAGTACCTATACAATTGTACGAGGCTATCCCAATGTACTATTATTGCATTAATAGTATTTGTAATACAATAATTTAATAGAAACAATTTTTTGACGCATATAGCATTAACTAATATTTTGTAAATTAAATTAAATTAAAAAAAAAATCTAACAAAATGGCCAGGTCACCAGGCCATCTGGAAATTTCTCATTTCCAGACCGGCCACTCCGCCCCTGGGTATAGTAATTACTAATTAGTATGCATATTATTGAATACTTGCCTAATAATACTAAGTAAGTACTTAAATTTAAATTTAAATATGTATGGACATTATTATTGTACTTAAAAACATTGTTTATAAAAAAAACCCAGAAATCCTGATGATAATTCAGCTACTTAAGAATTTCGGTGTTGTAGCTGTGGATGAAAATTGTTGCGGCGCATTGTCTTCGTATTTCTCGTATCCTCGCGTTGTATCTTAACGCCTATATAGGCTTTGTCCGGATTGCATGCTGTACACCACACGTTTATTTACTATGCACTTAAACAACTTAAACTTTTTTTTGGACTTTCCTAATTTTTAAAAAAAAATACATGTCATTGCCGAGTGCCGACAACAAAATACACAAAACTAAATTTTTAATATATTATGACTATATACTATATACTATATAGAATATAGATAATTATATTATTATAATTGTATTCTACCTATTGTTATAATATTATTACCTACTATTATTATTATTATTATTATTGTTGTTTTTTAATTTATTATTATTATTATTATACTGTAACGTAATTTTTCATTGTAATATTAACCGTTTTAAAAAATGCTATTATACCATTTTATTATTCAAAAAAAGATGTTTCTATATTGACATATTTTATTATTATGAATTATTATTATATATTATTTTGTTTATTTAAATTGTAATATTGTGTGCCCGAAATGTCAAAAAAAAACCACCTAATTTAAAAATAATATTTTATGATTCTTATTCACAGTGTCGCCTTCTACAATATTTATATGTTTTATTGTAATGTAACAAAATCCCGATCCTCCAGTTGAAAAGTAAGTTATTTATTCGGATATACCCCTCTAAGAGATGGCATGCAATTCGGACAGACCCCTCCAAGAGACGGCATGCAATTCGGACGACCCGATTTATATTTATTTTTTTGGCATGCAATTCGGATGCACCGTACCGGCCAATTCCGCGGTTTAAAAAGGCGGAGATTGTAATACGGCCAATACAGGCACTAATAAGTTGTTTAAAATCTCTGGGTATATCCACAGAACAATATCTTAGTCCGTGGGTTGGACATACTGTCCCGTGTTCTGTTACCCGCTTGATAACTGATAAGCTCCAATCACTTTATTATCATTTATCAATAGTACCGCCGTGCCGGAATGAATTTATAAATTAAGCATTTCAGTACAGTATTTAACTTTTCATTATTTCAGGCTGAAGTTTCCATCCTTTAGCACGTGCTTACGTCTTCTATATTGGTATATCTATTACTTGCATATTGTAAAATTAATATATTAAATTTTTATAAAAAAGTGTAGGTTAGTCTTCATAATTTATACATTATAATAACGAAACCTAAAAAAAATAGTTCAATATTATAAGTTATTTAAATAAATTATTTGTTGATATTTGTTGTTTAAACCAGTTATATAGTATACAAAAAAAAACGGCATTTATTGAAATAATGGCAGCTCGTCCGGTCAAATCATATGGTAAAAAAAAGTACAATTTTAAGGACAATCGTTATAAACTTCTGCCAGACATGAAAGGATTCCTATGCACTTGCAATTACGGTGAAAAAGACTGTCAGAAGGAAGCGATAAATTTGTTAAGAGAATACAGCGAAGAAAAAGACGTAAGTTTGTGGAATTAAAATCTATTTGTAGATATCGTGATTCACATTTTATGCTGACATTTTTGATAACCATCATTATAATTTATAAAAATTACCAAAAGAGCAAAGTTTCGGAAATTGGTTTTCTCAGATCATATTTATTTATTTATTCGTGGATTACACATTTACACCTATTTGTATACCTACAATAATTTAATTCATAGTTGTGTATTTTTAGAAGTTTTTAATTTTCAAACCTATCATAGAATTCTATTTTTATAATTTACTCACTTATTACTGATTTATATTTTATAATGTTATGTAAGTACCTATAGTTAGTTGGTAAAAATAAAAATAAATTAATAATGAAATTGTAAGACAGATGATTACTTGATTAGTACCAGGTTAGGTGTTAGACGTTAGTACTTTGTATTCCGAGTCTTAGTATCGTAGTTTTATAGATGCTAGTTGGTAATTACCAAAACTAATTACTATTAATAATTTCAATCGAGGTTTAGGCATTGATGCAATTATAGTGATTAAATGTAGTATTTAAAACCGCAGGGAAGGCTAAAAAAATTTGTTCTTTCTATTGGAGACACGTTTTTAAGATGTAATTTAACTTTATTTAAAGACCCCAGAATAGTGAACATCACCGTGAAACACGTATTCCAAAAATTATTTTTCAGGTACACAATTGTAGTGACTATCTTTGATCGTGGGTAGGCAGTATATTGTAGATACCTACCTATAAATAAATTGTAACAATAAATAATAATAATAATAATAATTTTTAATAAATAATAAGCAATTTAGCCTTGTTAATTTTACTCACTGATCTTTATACAGATACAGTTCAGTGATTTTACTAGCTGCGCAGGTATAGGTATATATTTTGTTTTTGTATTTTTAATATTTAAGCATGTTTTCTGGGAGTTTTGTCTAGTTTTACACAGTTGTCCTGTGTTCTAGACCTATTTTTTGATTTTTCGTGGCCTGCTGAATTATCAGTCGTGTTGTCGTCTTTACTGTTTATTACGTAGGTTTGAAATATTGTTGACAGAAATATCACGATTGAATTTATCATCAACTATTTTGTTGCCTTGCGTTTGCTGGAACGATATACATTGTTATTGTTTACAAATTTACAATATTAATAAAAGCGCAATATATTTTACAAGTTCAAATCAAATATTATTTTCTTTTGTTTTTTGCAAAAATCTGAGAAATTTTCAAAAACATTTAACAATTTACAGAACTATGTAGTCTTGAGTATACCTACGCCAAATTTTAATTTTTCTTTAGAGGCCGCTACACGCCACACGGCCATATTTTGTTGTCTTCGTCTTACAAGTGCGTAACATAGAAAAATTTACGCTCAAGCGAACGCGTTTAGCTCCGTTAGTTTAAAAATTAGAGTGAATCGACGTATTGTGAAACATGATGGTAAGTACATTATCTGTGTTTGTATTTGAGTTTTGTACGATAGTTCAATTTTTTAGTAAGTTATGCGTAGGTATATAATATAGTCAGTTAAAAATTCTCATAACTCACTTAAAAACCGAATTATCGTTAAAAAAAACCACATACAAACATAGATATTGTTCTTGCCATTAAGATTCATGGTGCTATAGTAGGTCGATTCACTCTAATTTTTAAACTAACCGAGTTATCTGCTGAGCTTAAATTTGCTACATTATGCACTTGTAACACGGACACAACAAATATTTGTGAAGTGTCTTTTTAAAATGTATTTCAAACATTATTTTCTCGCTGCGCTGGCCGCTAAATCATGGCAAAAAAACATACTTTTATTGCTTACTATTTAAGTTGTTCTCAAACAACTCGTCATTAACTATATAAAAAAAAAACACGAATAATATGCAGATTATCTATACTTGTCTTATAATATAAATATATTTTCATCCACTGCAAATATTTTCAGGAGTCGATCTTTTTCATAGACCTTATAATTATTATTATAGTTATTATGGTCTATGATATTATATTTACACATCAGCTTATGATTACATTTTATTCGGTAAATAGAATATTGAATATTAATAGAATATGTGGTGTACAATGTACTCTTCTGCTACCTACTAAATTATTGATAATCTGTTAGTAATATTATAATATACTATATGGTACGTAATTAGAAATCCGAGAATGGATTTAAATTATGTTATTTTATTATCGCGAAAGATAAATTAAGGAAATACCAAAATATTTTTATTGTAAACTGAATTTATTTATCAATTTATTTAATAACTTGATTTATTAATTCATATTTCAGTTTATGAATTTTCAATCTTGTACTTTATGCATAGTACCCTCAATATTTTCTAACACTTTGTGAACCACTATTGACTAATGTGGTATTATCACTTTTAGTAGTGGTATTATCACTTTTAGTTGATGGTAAATAGTAAATACTAAATATGATAAATTCAGTTTTCTTTAGTCTTTACGAGTAAATTCATAATTATTTTTAAACTAATGTAGTATCGTCAACGATACCTCAATAAAACCTTACTCTTACTCTTATAGTCTTATACAATATTACCTAATATAAAACTTTTGTGTATATGTTATTTTAAATATGCAACAAGTCCTTTTTCTATACTAAATCGAATTGCTTATTACTCTGTGACATTTTATTTATTATCTGAAAATAACGAAATGTCTACTAAATCGGTATTTGTCACTGTCGGTACCACTAAATTTAATGAACTAATTGATTCTGTCACTGACCGTCGTACCCTCGAAGCTCTGAAACGTAATGGCTATACATCAATGACTCTTCAAGTAGGAAACGGTACATTTATTCTTGAACCTTCTGATGTAATGGAAATCTCAAGTTATACATTTAAGCCGGATATTGGGACTGATATGATGAATAGCGATCTAGTAATAAGTCACGGAGGAGCTGGTTCCATAATGCAAGCATTAGACTATGGTAAACCTTTGTTAGTGGTAGTTAATGAAAAGTTAATGGACAACCATCAATACGAATTGGCAGAAAAATTATGTGAAGATAAACGATTATATTATACAACTTGTGAAAATTTGTGTCATTGTATTGAAAATTTAGATTTCAGCTTATTAAATTCAGTAAAAATTGATAATTCAAAAAAAATATGTAAACAAATTGAATGTTATTTAAAAATATAAACATATTGTGTGATACTTTGTTAATATTTTTATAGATTTACTACCAATTTCATAATAAGAACAATACATGCATATTTAACCATAATATTATGTTTATAAATAATTTTTTTTAGCATCAGTACTATTATTATGAATAAACAACTAACAAGATAACTTATTTGTCTTCCTTTGATTTTAATTCCTTGAAAATATCAACTTGGGTTTGCTCATTCATGCACAAATAATTTTTTGTTGCTTATTCCAAGTTATATTTCTACATTATATTCTATTGATTCTTATCGAAAAATCCAAATCAAATGTTGAATCGTTGATATTTTAATTTATTATTAAAAAATAATACCGAAATTAAGATGGGTCTTTTGTCAGCAAATATGTAAATGGTGTGCGAATAAACATTTAAAAATAAAAGTAGATACAAATGTGCTCTAACCTAACCTACACTAGATGTTAAAATCCATTTTTTTATAATTACTCAATCGATAACCATAATATGGAAATGGTTTCCTTCATTAAATATCTGGTTATAATTTTGTCTGCTGTATGTTAGGGTACGTTAGACCTCATTGCTATGATTTTAAAAATATCCAATGTCTTAATACTTACCTTATACTGATATCTAGTACTGGTCCATAATTTGGAATCCATCTCAACTCAATCATATACACCATATAGATAATGTGCAGTCTTATTTCCTAAGATATTTATCTCATAATTTTGGGATGGAATGCCCCAAAAAGGAACTAGCTATGAAATTAGGTCCACAGACTTTCTTCTAGATGTAAGTCTTAATAAATAACATACACTGTTCAGAGATACTTGACCAACAGCGGCCAACATAAGTTGGTCAATGACCACATTTTTACCCGGTCAAAAAGTACCTTTAATGTCATTCCACTCCCAATCTTAGTTATAATGAACCTTAAAGTCGAATGTTCGGCCGCGTTACAACCTAATTGATTTTGATTTCAACTCTGATTGTGAGTCTAAACTTGGCATTTAAGTTTAAACTTTTGAAATGTGTTAATAGTTGTATATTTAGTTATTTTCTCATTAAAAAACTTAGATTTTTTCTTTATATTCACAACTATATTTGTTATATTATATTATAACCTTTAGTTAATGTATACCAATATACCATAAGTATTTCTTTGCACATTCAATTGCCTTCAGGTGTCTAATAAACACAATAAATTATGCTTTAAGTTAACACCACTAATAATAACTATAACTATAACAATTGTTTTGTTAAACGTATGGTTGATTTAATCAAATACTCTGCTCTAAAAGTCTTATAATGCATAGACGATAGACATGCACCTAGAGGATGTCAATATATACTCTCCGCTTCCAAGAAAAGACCCGTTTATATCCCCTTATTTTTGTCTTAATATGTTGACACTTAACTGCCATGTCACACACCAATACACCATACATATTTGTCCATGCTATTCCTAATTTATACATACTATATTATTTCATATTTGAAAATATATAACATAATATGTTCATTACCTCAAAAATATTGTAATTATTCCCATAATCTCACTGCTTTGTTTTTAGTACATTATTGAAGCGCCATAAAACAAGTTAATAATTTTAAACCATATTAATATACGGTCGCTAGCAGTAACAAAATTATATAATTTGAGAATTACAGATGACCGCCGGCAGTCAATGTGTTAAATAACTTAATATTTATAAGTTTGTTTTTATTGAATAACCTCAGAAATGTATATTATATAAACAAATTCATAACTTCATAATACTTATGCAAGTCAAAAAGTCTAATTAAACTCAGTCAATAAATATATTTTTTAAGAACGGCCTAATTATTTTTGTGTGGTTAATTTTTTATATAGTGTATTCTACCAATAAGTTAGTAACCACTAACCAGTAAACATGTATTATTTTTTGATAAAAATCATTAAACTTCTTAAATTGACTTTGATTTAGAAACCATCCGAAGAGACTATTAGTACTGAAGAGGAATCCGCAGAAATCATGGACTCATTAGACACTGAATTGGAAAGCTTGTCCAGAAAAGATAATGCTGATTGGAAGAAGTTCACTCCGTCAGCTACAGGTGTTGGGAACTGTCTTTTCATCAGCACCACAGTAAGTCATTTACTCATTTATATTGTTGTGTTAAATTAACCCAATATTTCAATTAATTGCGTATTTAATGTTAGGTTGAAGATCCGTGTGAGCTTATGTATAAAATACTCGAAGACATTGAAAGAACCAAAGTGCAGAAGACAAAATTTCTTTTGCGTATGCTTCCAATTATGGTTACTTGCAAAGTAATATAAAACCAAGCTAATATTATTGTTATAGTATAATACAACATTATTGTTTCTTTACTTGTGTTTATAGGCCAACATAACATCCATAACATCGACCTGCGCCATTTTATTGCCTAAGTATTTTTCTACAGAACCAACAACATTTGCAATTATGTTCAAGTACAAAAAATATTTATATTTAAATCAAATTTTCCCACAAAAACCTTAAATAATAGGGTTTAAATAATAATATTAATTTATATAAATTGGTGTGTTATTATAGTCACAGATATAACAATTCAGTGCCGCGTGATAAAGTTATCGATGAATTGGCCAATCAAGTGGTTAGTTTTGGACAGCATACTGTGGATTTATCTGGTGGAGCTAAAATGACTATTATTGTTGAGGTGGTGAAGTCTGTTTGTTGTTTATCAGTAGTTAGAGATTATGCTCGCTTCTGCAAGTTCAATCTACTCTCTGTCTGTGGTCGACCTGAAAAAAGAACAGCAGAAGGTGAAAATGGTAAATATTCAACATAAAAATATTTTATAAATAATAATTTTGTTTTAATAGGAACTATGTATTTATATTTAAATTTTTAATAAATACATAGTATATTACTATGAAATATTATTAAGAAACAAAATGGAATAATAATTTATTGTTTTTAAGGTGATGTTGAAAAAAGTTCTTCGCCTAAAGTTAAGAAACAAGAGGAAAATGACCAGGTAAAAGAAAATAGCGAAGAGGAAAAAACAGAGAGTGAACCTGGGGAAGAAATTACTGAAATGTCTGAAAATTAAATAACTTCATTATTTATGTTCATTTACTTATTGAAAGGTATCAATAATCTAATTTTGTTAATTAATGTCAAATCTTAATTTTTTTTTTTACTATTATTTGTTTTGTATGGTTAAATAATATTTTCAGAAATTAATAAGTAAACATAGATTAATTATAACTAAAAAGTACCTATATAAGTAAAACATTGTTTCACAAAGTTATTTTCAGTAAATATATTCACTTTATTCTAGTATATTAAACACTACTTTATGTATTGTTTTGTTCTATGTATTTTTTCTTTAACCAATATTCTTACATTTAAAGATGTCATGTCATATAGTTTGTTAGGTTAAATTAAATAATAAGTTAAGGGGGCTCTAGTGGGCCGTAGGTTTTAATGATACATTCAAATAACTTGTAAGTGTGTGTGTAAAGTAAATAAACATTAGTACCTATATGTAAGTTTATTCTGTAATAGTTTTCGGTCGATATTTCCTAGAAATGTCCTGAGTTATAACAGGCCCGCATAATACTGCCCAGTAAGTCGGTCGTTATTTACTTTATTAACTTACGTACGCGCATTGGCAATGATATTAAATTAAATAAACTTTTTTCAATTTAAAAGTATCTTTCCTGCCTAACGCTAATATACTCTTACCTACCTACCTACCTCTTTACTCTACCTAAAAGTATTGGTTCACAAACATGGTATTATATTTACAATATAATGTACCCAAAGTAAAACGTATTTATTTTTAATGTCTGAGAGGTGTACCTTAACTTGTATTCCCAATCGTTCTCTCAATTCTTATGTAAAAACATATTTTTATACCCAAACGTGTTACAGCCATTATTTTTACAAATAATCAGCATAAAACTGTTAAATTTGCCATAGAGGTGTTATTTTAATTGGTTTGACATTTCTGTTAACATTTTTATTTATTTTTTTTTTCAATAGTTTCTGGTGTTTTTTGTATGCCGGTCCCCTGATCACTGAGCAATTTTAATTTTAATTTTCTTTGGTACTCGTCACTTCACAATAAATGGTTGTATTTTTAAAAAATATCTATTCCTAATATGCAATTAATAATATATTGTCTATTAGTTTCATAGAAAGCTGTAATTATTACTAGTTGTGAAAAACTTTGATCAGCAGAACATATCAACATAAACAATTGAAAATTAATTATAAGCAAAAAGAAACTTTTAGGTTTCAATTTAGTGTACAAAAAGAAGTCACGAGTTTTTTTTTAAATTACATATTTGCTTTTAATTATTATTTTTTTTTTAATGCAAACTATTCATTTTTAAAACTATATTTAAAAATGTTAAATCCTGACTTGGCCTTTATATACTATCAATGTTAAGGTCAATAACTTACTTTACTTTGAACTGGTAAAAATAGTTTGAATTCCGCAGGTAATTCGTCTTCAGAATATAATCTATCACTAAAATAAACTCGTCTGACTCTGCAATTGGCATGCAACTGTACCCTCAATGTTTCTACATATCCGGTTCCATAAGCACGTCTTGTGAAATCTGCTAGATTAAATTGTATCTGGTTCCAACCTTCGTCCAGACGCATGGGCATTGTACAAATAAATGGCTTAACTCTAGTTGTTGATTGATAATTACTCGCTCGAAATCGGCGTCTAATGTTCTTATCATCAAGAATCTATGTAAGAATAAAATATAATAGGTAAGTAGAAATATAATACAATTTTAATTTTAACTTTATATCCCACCTGCACTTCAAAAGTAAAATATTTCTTCATGTTTTTGACGATCATAATTAGATATGGTAATTTGATACCTAGAGTCTTGGTTTTTTCGGCCGGACATGTAATATATGTTGTACTGATGTTTGTGCCTACAATGTCCAACACCAACGATTGGATATCATTGTCAGTAATGCGTTTGATATGTCCATTTCTAACAGTCTTATCCCAGAGCTGTAAGGGCTTGCTGCCAATGCTGTAGAGTATAGACAGGAAACCACTTTGGAATGTATTTTTGAACATTTTACTGGATACACAGAACACGATATTATCACTTGAGGAAGAGAAGTAAAAATAATAAATAGTTTGATCAATGTTTGGGCAAATAAGACATAACTGTTGCTAAGGCAACATTTCGATAATTTTCAAACACGCTTTGTGGCTAGAATAATACAAAACAAACACAGTTCAACAGTGAACTTGAGACACTGTAAAGAAAAAATATTGTAAAAATCTAACTTGAATAAAAGATTGATTTTAAACACCTCGAGTCCTGACACTTTTTGATTTTCCTTTATCTATAATATGTCGTTGTTACCCGTTAACGGATTAATGTAAAATTTAAGTTCTACTATGTAGCAATCGGCAATCACGGGTTTAGACAGCTGGTATATAATATATATTATATTATTATGTTTTTTATTTTGTTTGGAAAAATGCCGACAGTGATAAGTTATAACTGATAAATATTCATAGATATGGTTGTAAACTTTAGTGTACCTAGGTTGTGGTAACTCATTCGGTGTGATTTTTCTTTCTTATCTATTGTTAACGAACGCCTACGCGGTTTCGCTGCAGAATCGAGCAGTCAGTACTCAGTTGTCAGTTTTTGCCATAGTTGCTATTTAACGCTCGGCCCTCGTCAGTCGTCAGATTCGTACGGTCGTACAGCTCCTGTGGTCCGTCGTCGCCTATCGTCCGTTGCGCGTTCGTCGATCAGTTGAATCTCGACCGCGCGCGTTTGATCCTGTCCGTGACCCTTTGCGGTCGACACCAATCCGTTTTCCGTCGACGTCCGCGGTAGGTAAGTGTGAAAACCGTTAATGGGCGCACCTCGCCAATACACGGAGTCGCGTCGCAGGATACGCGGCGGACACGAAGTAGGGCAGTGCCCCGCCGTGTGCTACTTACCGCGCGTAACAGGTCCTAGCCATACGGAGTCCTAATAGCAAACAAAACGAACATTTTTCTTTTGTTTTCGCCCCCGGACCTATAATTAATGTAACCGGTGACGTACATTCAATGAAGGTTTTGGGTGTTCAAACCCTTGGCATTTATCACACTGAAAATGTTCTATAGAACATCATATTATTTATTATTTATATCTCATCCTTTTGATATTTCTGTGTACGCCACTGATTGTAACGACAAGTATTATAAGTTTTTCTCTGTGTAGGCTTAGCGGATTAGTGACAAGACGATGAAACGGTTAGTAGTGATTATTCATGTCCTACTGGCTGCTAGCTCTAACGGTTTGGTGTACAAAGACTTTATTGATTTAGAAGAGCTTACAGATATTTTTGGTTTGTCAGACTGCGTCGAAGGTAATTTTCTATGACCATTCTTGGTTCTTCTCTATGTGTCTGCTGAGCTAATCGGGAAAAAATTATTCGGTTGAACAATTGTGTGTTCAATTTTGCTTGTATATTTTATTTTAACTTTTTTTTTTATTGAACCATTCTTTAAGTAATATTTGACAGTTTTTATGATTCAATAACATTTTATGTTTTTTGATTTTCAAATTGTATACTTCTTCATATTACCTATCTTCATAATTTTTAGTTTTACCCCATGTAAACCAAAAATCTATTTATACTTTTCTTAAAAAAATCATTGAATATTGAGGAACAGCGAATGGTTCAATATCAAAAAAATTTCCTTATATTTTGTGGTTTAAAATGTACTGCGGGGAAGTTCATCTGTTTTTATGTTAAATGTTCTTATAAGTTATATTGATTTATATCTTAAATGCTGTGTATAAGTTTTACAAAATATATCTGAACAGTTTATCGGGCAGATATTTTGTAAACTTCACCATTCAAATACTATAAGGTACATAATACTAGTTTTGAATTAATTCTATACCCATCTGATAAGGGTGCTACAATGCTTATGCTTGATTTATTCTAACATATGAGGGATATACAAATTGTAACCAAAAAGTATAAAAAGTAAAAACTATTAGGTATAAGGTTTTAAAGAACATTTTAACAATGGAAATTTGTAAAATTATAAGTATATTATAGGTATAAATAATTTGAATACCTACATCTGTATATTTTAAACATTCGTCATTTAGGGAAGAGATACCTAAATAATTTAATTTAATTTATAATATTCAATAATAATTAATGTAAACATGTTACATGTAACTACATATTATGTTGTAGTATAAACTAGAATCTAAATAATATTAATTTATTTTGCATTTAATACCTTCAAACCGAGTTACTTGGGACACTTTCATTCTTTACATATTCAACATTCAATTTGTAATGAATGATAAAAACAGTAAAAACCAAAAATCCATTCTTGACTTGAGCTATAATTTCTACACAATAGACAAAATTTTAATTTAGTTAATCTTAACTTTTTTTTAAAAATTTCTGTCCGAAGTTACCTTGATTTTTGGGTAACTTTGGACATCCATACATTTCTATGTAAAATTCAAGTTACCTTCGATATTATTTAGCTTGAGACTTAATTATTGTTTTTAAAAAAATTTATATTATTAAATAAGTTTTTTTTAATGATTTTATCGAGGATTTTATTAAATTTAAATTGACATTACTGACATTAGGTTTAACTTGGGTCTATTCCATGCTTTACTACTGTCCCAAGTTACCCTAAAATTGGATACATTTATTTACCTCCAAACCTTATTGTGTACAAATTATTTTAAGGTGATTATAAATTTTATTTACAATATATTCGCCGTTCAATTAACATAAAAATCTACTTCATAGTTCAACTATGAACTGGACTCAAAACTAATTCACATAAATATTAAAGCTTTTAATATATGTTACTTAATTAAATAAACAAAAACTTACTTTTATTTATACGTCTGTAAGTAGTCAAGTTGTTTGTATTAATGTGTATACTGCTTGAATAAATTTATAATGATACCAAAAAGATAAATTAGTGATGCCATATGATACAGTGCTAAATTTCTTAAATATGGCCCAAGTTAGCCATAAGTCCCAAGTAACCCGGTTTGCCGGTATTTTAATGCGGTGTTATTTTATTCATTAAAAGAATCTTTATTCATAATTGAATGTAAATCGTCGCTGATACAGCAACAAGACGTATGTCAAAATTTTACAAAATTAGATTGTTGTTGATATTGGTAGATAAACACCGTACGGAAGTATTTTATTTCAGACTTTTTTGTGCTCAGGCAACTGGTTGGACTGTAAATAACAAAAACAGCTTATATCAAACATTCGTCATAGCACTGTGTATCTCATTAAATTCACATCGAAAAATTGTTGGGAGATAGGTGCTGTTGCTGTATCAGCGACGAAATGTACCTAATTATGAGTTGTTATTCCAGTTAACCATATTGTGAAATTGTTGGTATTTTGACATTAGCTTGTTGCTAACCAAATAGATACTAATACACTATTCCTCTATAATTTTAATGTTTTCACATTAAGTATTTGAAAAGATTGGAAGAATAATAAATTATATTATTGTTGATTAATATTAATTTTCCCATTGTTCCTTTTAAATCGATTACTATGGATTTTTGTATCTGTAGGTATATAGTAAATATTCAGTATTCGTCAAATTCTGTATGTCCTATTATATCATTTGACTTGGTAATAATAATTTTCTAAAATCTTACAAAAACATTGATATACCTTGGTAAAATATTGACAATCTTGAATTTATGACTTAATAATACTCAATTTTATGGGTTTCATCATTACAATGTTCAGTCAAATAATTTATTTTATTTTATTATTCTGTGGTTCATTATTCGATTTTGATATTAATCTTTGACAAATATAATGCAAAATTTGTCTATTTTATTTTAAAGACTGACTTGATTTATTGTCATTTTGAATAATATTTCACTCTAATCTAGTCTAATGCTATTGTGTATTAGTGCAATACATATGACTAATTCGCTAGACTAAACCGGTGGGAAAAATAATGCAATGGGATGTTTGGACCATATTGTTTGCATGGTTCATCATTATCCCCGTGCGGGATAATGTGGGATAATTATAAACCGGTCTAGTTTAGTAAATTTGTTGAAATAGTGCATTTTGTATTACTGTCAGAGTTAGGTTTTGAAAATTATAATCTGATTTGTATTTTGGAATTGTCAATCTAGATATGTGAATGGTCCGAACAGATTAAAATTATTAATTTAATCAGAATGGATGGTTTTAATACGGTTTTATTCTATATAAAAATGTAATTCTGCTCAACCCAGATTGCGCGAATAGTAGAGGTACATCTATGAATTATGATTTTATTTTTGTACCTTGTCTTGTACATTCAATATATTTTTCCAGTACCTATAATTCAGAAATGGATAGTTGTATAAAAAATAAGTTAAGATGAGTGATGATTTTGAGTTAACATTTAATTAAATCAACAAATGTTGTATTTATAAGGATGCTATACCAACATATTTTACTGTATTGACATATTGTTTTCTCCTCTAAGACTTTATTCTATATTTCCATCATACCTAAAGAATAGAGAAACGTCATAAATAATTATCAAACCCAAATAATACTGCTTATTGAGCTATAAAACATTTAATACTAAAAAATTGCCTTTTTATGATTGTAATCATATGAAAATATTTAAAAAAAAAATAATGTATATTAGATCATAATACCTAACATGGCGTCATCAAAATAAAATACATATAAGTTCTACGTTTTAAATTTGATTGTTAGTTATTTTAATCTAATGTAAGCAAAATGCAAAATGCACTGTCATGGAAATATAGAAAAAAATATTTTATATTGCGATTGGAGGAGATGGATATAGAAAATACCAGTAACTTTGTGTATACATCTGTTGCTTTTCTGCTTGAATTAATTTATTAATTTAATAGTACCTAAAATCACTAACAATTAATTATTTATTGTTGATACATTTGTATTTTATTGCTTCAATGCTCGATTTTAATGATTTAGCTAATAGCTAGATCCATTGTTTAATATTATAGGTAGATTACTAATAAACTAATATTCAATTAATTATCAAATAGTATT